CTGCTGGGTGGGTGAGGCTGGCCTTAAAACAAAACAAAACAAATCAGGAATTACCAAATGCAAAGGACCGAGGAGATTTTATTCCAAGAAATATCTTTAATATATTTTCCTGAGGGCACCTGAAGAAGTAAATTCTAGCAGAAAGTAAGGGAGATTGGGAACTTATGCAGGGTAGAGGCTACTTTGTTTTCCAAGTCAGGGTGGCTGTCTTATCTATTGTCTAGGAGGTGATAGGAGATGTGGGGAGAGGGGGAATTTAGGGGTCATTCAAACCATTCTTTCTGCTTCCTACTCTCCTTGTCTTGGCTTTGCATTTTTGGCCAGTTTATTGTTGGATGTTTTTGTTACCTATTGCGTCATAACAATGTACTCCAAAGCTTGGCAGCTTACAACAAACATATATTTTTTTTTCTGTGAGTGAGGAATTTGGGAATGGTTTAGCTCAATGTTCTGGCTCAAGCTTTCTCAGGAAGTTTCAGTGAAAATGTTTGCAGGGAGTGTAGTCATCTGAAGGTTTGACCGGGGCTGATGAGGGTGCTTCTGAGATGGCTCACTCACACAGTGGGACGACCTTGGTTTCTTGTTGGCTATTGGCAGAAGGCCTTCATTCCTTGCTGTGTGCCTCATTCCACAGGCCGCTTAAATATCTTCATGACATGGCAACTGGCTTCCTCCAGAGCAGGTGATCCCAAGGGAGCAGGGTCAGAACTATCTTTCATGACCAAGTCATGGAAGTCACAAACTGGTATTTCTGTTTGGGTTACTGTTAGAAATTAATCAACCATTTAGTCTAGCTGGTATTCAAAGGGAAAAGAATGAGGCCTCACTTTTTCAAAGGAGCATTAGCCAAGAATTTGTGGACACATTTTACCACCACCACCCTGGGCTTCTGCCTTCCCGCCAGTCTGAACAGTTCAAAACTTGTCCTCACCTACGTGCTGATTCTCTTCTTTGCGGCATTTTCTTTCCCCTTGCAGCATTTTAAAGTTGTATATTTATTTTCCCCATGATTGAGAAAGACAGAGAGACAGAGAAAGAACACCCCAAATAGGATCTTTACACCAAGATCTATCCCAGTCTCATCCAGTTCCAGATCATGGGTACCCACATGCCCAGTGTACTCAGAGAAGTCTTTAGAATTGAAACTAGAATCTCTTATTACCACTATCAGGGCTCATCTCTCTTGTGCCAAACTTCCATAACACATAGCTAATCTAATAAATGTATTCACGTTTTAATTCTAGAAATACTTCCTGAGTAGCTTTTTGTTTAAACATAATCCTCAGAATTAGTGAGAACAGGGGACCAGCAGTTAGGGTAATGGCTATGTCACTGGACTTCCATGTAGCCAACCATGGTTCGAGTCCCGGACCCGGTGGCTTAAACTTACGCTGGGTGCGTGTGCGTGCATGCCCAAGATCCCGAGAGGAGAATGGAGGAAAAGGGAATGTGGCATGACCATTCCCCCTGGGGGGTGATTTCTCGCTTTCTGTCTCTCAGTCTCTCTCTGTCTTTCTGGTGAGCGCACACACCCCACCCCAAATAGGATCTTTACACCAAGATCTATCCCAGTCTCATCCAGTTCCAGATCATGGGTACCCACATGCCCAGTGTACTCAGAGAAGTCTTTAGAATTGAAACTAGAATCTCTTATTACCACTATCAGGGCTCATCTCTCTTGTGCCAAACTTCCATAACACATAGCTAATCTAATAAATGTATTCACGTTTTAATTCTAGAAATACTTCCTGAGTAGCTTTTTGTTTAAACATAATCCTCAGAATTAGTGAGAACAGGGGACCAGCAGTTAGGGTAATGGCTATGTCACTGGACTTCCATGTAGCCAACCATGGTTCGAGTCCCGGACCCGGTGGCTTAAACTTACGCTGGGTGCGTGTGCGTGCATGCCCAAGATCCCGAGAGGAGAATGGAGGAAAAGGGAATGTGGCATGACCATTCCCCCTGGGGGGTGATTTCTCGCTTTCTGTCTCTCAGTCTCTCTCTGTCTTTCTGGTGAGCGCACACACCCTATAGCAAACAAACAAACAAACAAAAAGAATTAATAAGAACAAAAAAAGAGCCCAATAACTCCATGGAGTTTATAGTACAGAAGAGGAGATAAGATATGCAAAAATAAACATACGAGAAAGCAGAAAACGTTAAATATGAATAAGTTAAGGAAGTAAAGAGGAAGCCCTATTTTTCCTGGAGTGAATCAAACACGACTGAAATATTGGGCCCCCGAGTAATATAGCTGAATTTCAATCACAGCAGTGCTGTGTAATGGTCATTGCCCAGCCTCTGGAGAAACACTGCCTTATTTGGATCTTTGGACAAGTAACTTACTGTCCCTATGCCTATTTCCAGCAATAATCTCTATGTTATAGCCTCGGACTGAGGATTTGGTAAATTAACATATGCAAAGTGCTCAGAACAGAGCCTGGCACATGTTAAATGCTCAGTCAATATTCATCATGTTTAGGAACTTTGGACAGATATTTTAATCTCTCACTGGACTGCATTGTCCTTATCTAAAGTAGATATAATACAAATAGCTTCCTCCTAGGGTAGTTGTAATTGTGAGACTTACATTAAGTAATATGGGTAAAATTCTTAATACCACATCTAGCCCACAATAATAACTCAGTAACCATCACCTATTGTCATTTTTCCAGCTTGGGAAATCAAGGAATGCTTCCAGAAGGTAGACCTTTAAGAATGCATAGGAGTAAGACACCAATACCAACCCATTAAATACTTACCATGATTACTAGTTAGAGGGTTTACAGATGTAGTGCTAAGTCCTAGGACTAAGTGCTCCTCATGGACAATATAATTTCTCTTCTCCCCCCTGTAGGCCCTATTATAATTCTATGTCGTGGATAAGGACAGTGACTTGCCCAAAGTCAACCAGCTAGAAGATGTAGAGTTGAGATTCGAAGAAGGGTTTATTGAGCTGTGAAACCTGCCACCCCCCTCTAGGCTCCATGATCTACCTTCCCTCCAGTTCTTTTGGTATCTTTAACCTCCTCCCAGAGAGTAAACTCAGCCCTGGGAAGGCCAGATAAGAGGCTGGTTTACAGCAGTGGATAGAGTATGAGTGTGTGCTCTGTGACTAAGATCCACACCAATTTTCCACCCTGCTGCACATTTTCTGGTAGATACAAACATTTCCTGGGAAACCTTTTGTGTGAAAGAAGGGGCTACTGTTCACCTAATAACATAAAAACTCTTAAGAACATGCTTGACTAAATGGGGTTCTTGATTAAATGGGGCTCTTGAACCCTTGGACCCCACTGCTCTATTTCCTTAGGGTAACTCTACTGCCTTTTCTGTGGAGTTTAATAAATCTGACTACAAAATCAGGAAGACAAGCTGTATGCCCGTGTCTCACTCAGCCTCTTCACACGCATGTGTGCTGTTGTATCACTGTGTCCGGACAACATATGCTCTCTGGAGCATCAGCCTATTCCATGTCAATGAGCGTTATTTACAAATAAGTGTGTATTGTTTTGAAATGGCCTCTGTCTTATGACTTACCATAATCCAGTCTTCCAGATTGTCTTTCTTTCTTCTTTTTTTTTTTTTTTTGGAGAGGTTTTTTTCACTATAGGGAGCATGCGCTCACCAGACAGACAGAGAGAGACATAGAGACAGAAAGCGAGAAGTCACCCCCCCAGGGGGTATGGCCATGCCGCAATCCCTTCTCCTCCATTCTCCTCTCGGGATCTTGGGCATGCACACACATGCGCCCAGCGTGAGTTTTAAGCCACCGGGTCCGGGACACGAACCGTGGTAGATTACGTGGGAGTCCAGCAACATAGCCATTACTCTAACTGCTGGTTCCCCAGTTTGTCTTTCTTGAAAAGACATCCTTGATGGAGACCAGGCCTCAAATATTGGTTGACTTCAACTTACTATGTGATCTAGGAGAGCCCCTTAGTCTCTCTGAGTTTATTCAGGCAAAAGATGGAGGCCGGTATAGTTGAACAGTAAGGCCCTTTTCAATATAAGAGCATTTGAGATTCTGGAACCTGTAAATCCCTCACAGCAGCAACCACATTGCATATAGCCCACCCTGGAGGCATATGATTGGCCTCTGCCACTCTTACCCAGGCTTGCTTCTTATTTCAGAAAGTAATTTGACTTTGGGTTAGCACCAAGGCATTGGGTTAATACATGTCACATGTTAGAGTTCAAAGAGTATTGGGTCTATGATCAGAACACTTGGAAAAATTACTGGATAATCTCAGGCTTTAGTTTTCTTATCCATAATATGAGGATGATCTAAATTTTAACCTCTCAAGGTTGTTAGAAGGAATTAATAACGTAATTTATATGACCTTGTAAAAGCCATAACATTATGCTCAAATGAAAGGGTTTAATCCTGTAACTCCCAGTATCTTATCTTTGATATTCTACTTTCTAAAAACCCATCATGTTGGCCTATAGTCTAGTATTTAAGGAAGCTAAGTCCCACATGGCCAACTATGGTTCAAGTACCAGACCTGGAGGCTTGAAAAACATGTACATGCTGGATGCATGTACATGTATGCCCAAAATCCTGAAAGGAGGGAGAATAGGAGTAGAAGGGATTGCAATGTGACCATGCCCCATGTGAGTGCTTTCTTACTTTCCCCCCTCTCTTGGTCTCTTTTGGTAGGTGCACCTGCACCTGGCAAATGAAGAAAGAGAGAGACAGACAGACAGACAGAAAGAAAGTCAGTCTAATCCCCAGAAGGTCATCATAAGCCTACATTTCACCAATGACATCTTAGGAAAATATACACACCAAGTTTATCCTTCAAAATCAAAAGGTTTTATGTGAAGGTAGAAGGTTAAAGGGTTGAGACTGTGTCATCTTAGATATTACTGGATTCAGATTCGCAGTTTGTGGGCTCTGAACCCTGCATGTCTGGTAAGTGGGGAAATTTACCATGCCAGGTTGAAAGAAAGACTCAAATACCTATCAATATGCTGGACCAAGTCAGTATCAGAAATCAGTTTTCTGGTGAGAACAAAAAAATGCCAATTCTGCCTTGTCTGCCAGGGTCCAACCTAGGCAGGGGTGGGTTGACGCATCGGATGCGGCACAGGTGAACAGAATTAGGCTAAAACATCAATACTTTTTAGCATGTTTTTTGGCCGGCTACAGTGAGAGCAAAACTCCAGACCGCAGCCCCATGGCTATTAAGACATGTGTATTTATTGAGGGATGTTTAGGAAGTAAGGAGGGTGAGGGGTAGTAAAAAATCTACTCTAAGGAACAGGGTATACAAAGCATGGAAACAATAATAAAACATGCTGTTTGTCTTGTCAGATTAGGTAAAAATCAATCGCAGTTTTTAGGATGAGGAAGTCCATTTGTCTGTTGTATCTTCTTCTTAGATCTTGATTACTGGGAAGGGTCTTTTGAAGAGGGGGCTTGCAGGATGTTTGATAGCCTCAGACCCAGGCCAGTTTGATAACTTCAGTCCCGCACCAGGGCAGCAACATTGCTGATTAAAAAGATCTAGATAGAAATCTTGTCTTGTTTAGTAAAGACACAGTTAATATATGGACTATCTATATATTACAACAATAGAAGGTGAGTCTATATGGGAAAGGAAGATGATCTTGTAGCTCAGGAGACAACACAGGATGTTTTATTAGCAGTTTTATTAGCAGTTTTTCATAGTCAACAGCACATAGATAAGAAACTCTTTGTAGTTAAAAGCTACCTGTTGCTTTAGAGAAGAGCTCCCAGCTAAGGTAGTTAATCTTTCTCTGAAGCCCTTAGGTTTGTTCATCCTGTCGTCGCCAGTCAGGCTTTTCCTTTCTTAAAAAACCCCATGGGTTTTTGTTTTATTTGCTGAGTCTGTCAATTAGTGAGTTCTTTTATTTTATCTCTGGGTGAATGTGCTAACTTTGCCTGGCATGAGCTAACTTTGGCCTGTAGCTTTAGCAAGGGGTATTTACATAAAACTAGCCTTTATTTATTTATTTTTTTTGGACAGGTTTGCGTTATAGGGCGCGTGCACTCGCCAGACAGAAACAGATAGAGACAGAAAGTGAGAAATCACCCCCCAGGGGGATGGTCACGCAGCAATCCCTTCTCCTCCATTCTCCTCTCGGGATCTTGGGCACGCACGCACACGCGCCCGGCATGAGTTTTAAGCCCCCGGGTCCGGGATGTGAGCTGCGGTCGACTATATGGGAGTCCAGTGACATAGCCATTATGCCAACTACTGGTCCCAAAACTAGCCATAAACTAACTTAATCTACATATGTTACTAACGCTAATTTGGCTTATACTAACTTAATCTTAACATATGTTAATTTTTGCTAAAACAGACCGGTGAGGGAAGTCTCAAACTTCCCACCCTCCTCTTAGGAAACCACATTCCTATAAGATCACTAACTGGCTTTATTGTAAAGGTTGGGGGTGATATTTTACCCTTGCAGGGTACCGTAATAACAGTAAACCTCATGGCAGAGAAATTGACTACAGGCCAGTAAAACGACACAAGGAGGGTTATTAAACCACCTTCCTTGTCTCACAGTTTCTTCCCAGCCCAGGTCTTGCTTTTAGACGTGGGATACAGCCTCTTTACCAGCTTGTGTTGTCTGCATGGCCCCATCACTTGTCATATTTTTCTTTCCTTAGATTGTACCAGAAAAATATGAGGAATTTTTACTTTTTGGAGCATTTTTCGAAGCTACCATGATTGACCGGAGGATTGGAGATAAGCCCATTAGCTTTGAAGTCTCTATTGGTAAGTGCAGACAGGTGAATTTAGTGCCGTACTCTTAAATAAATGAATTAGTGATTTACATGAAAATGATATCTACCTGGTGAAATGTTGCACCTCAGAAGAAAATGAACGACTACTTTTCCACCCTAATGTCAATATATAAGACATATGGGACCAGCAGATGGTATAATGGTTACATTACTGGACTCCCATGTAGTCGATCATGGGCCCGATGGCTTAAAACACACTGGGCACATGTGTGTGTGTGCCCAAAATCCCAAGAGGAGAATGGAGAAGTGATTGCAGCATGGCCATCCCCCCAGGGGGTGATTTCTTGCATTCTGTCTCTCTGTCTCTCTGGCAAGCACATGTACCCTATAGCAAAATTCTCTCTTTCTCTCTCATGTGTGTGTGTGTGTGTATGTATGTACTTTTATTCTTAAAACAGTAATTGAGAGTTTAGGTTTGGAGTCAGACAGACTTGATTACTAATCCTGGTTTCATTATGCTTGGCTTAGTTAATTTCTCTGGATCCCAGTTTCTTCATCTGTAAAATGAGAATGATAGTAACTCCTCACAGAATTGTTTTAAAAATTTAATGAGTCAATGCATGCAATATGTCATCATATAGTAGATGCTACTACTGTAACACCCTAAAATCTTCCTGGGCTATTCACAGCTGGGAAAACCCATCCCAAGAAAAACCATTCCATAGAGAAGGTCTTCAATCACATTCAGACAGCTCTCTTTCAACAGAGCAGGTGGATATGGACACAGGAAAAGGGTCAGGGAAGGAGGTGAGCAGGGGAGGAGGGGTTGGGAAGGCTTCCTGAGTTAAGGGGGTCCTCATGGCTTTTGATCTTGGACCTATCTTGATTTAGACAAAATCAACTAGCTCCATGATATGACTATTTCTGGGACTCTTCCAAAAGAGATAAATGTTCATCCTAATCTTGTTAAGCATTTGAAATCAGACTCGTAACGAAAAAAAAAATCAATGACATGGATATGTCCGCAGGGGATACCTGCTCTTACACCAAGATATTTCTAATACAAAATCTATCCTATTTGCCCTCACATGATGGCTTTTTCCTTCCCTCCCTTCCTCCCTCCCTTCCTTCTTTTTTCCTTCTTTTCCTCCTTCATTAAACATGGTACTGTCTTTTTTTCTTTGCAAAGGTTTTTGCTATAGGGTGTGTATGCTCAACAGAAAGACAGAAACAGACACAGAGACAGAAAGCGAGAAATCACCCCCCAGGGGGGATGGCCACACCACAGTCCCTCCTCCTCCATTCTCCTCTCAGGATCTTGGGCATGCATGCACACGCACCCAGTGTGAGTTTAAGCTGCCGGGTCCAGGACTTGAACCACGATTGACTACATGGGAGTCCAGTGACACAGCCATTATGCTAACTGCTGGTTCCCTAAACATGGTAATGTCTTTAGGGATATAGGCAAGAAGCTTTCTTTTAAGGAGAAGCACACTTGGAGAAGTGTTCATAAAATTTTATTGAATAAAAAATGCAGGTAACAAAATGACCTATCTGCAGTTACCCATCACCAGTAACTCTATGAAAAGTTTTGAAGGGATATACACTAAAATACTAAAACTGGTTATCAATAAGTTTTGCAATCTCTAGTAACTTTTTTCTTATTTACTTAAATGTGCTTTCTAATTTGTAGCTTGCATAGATTTTATAAGAGAGAAAATAAGATGATTGAAGATAATGGCTCATTGTCATTGTCCACCTTATTTCTTTGTTCTGACCATCACTCTTTCCATCTTCATAGTGAGGTCTTATTCCTTTGCCACAGAAGGACATGCACTTGGTTCCTTATGCCTAGCAGTTGGTTCTGTGTGTTGACACCTAACCTCTCTCTCCATGCTACTGTCTCTCCAGGTAATTTTGGGAACCTGATCGATGGAGGGTCCCATCATGGGAGTAAGAAGAAGTCAACTGAATCAGCTGAAGAAGACGCCCTTCCACTGCTGCATGAAGGAGGAGAGGCAGCCCATGAGGTTGCCTTCCCTATGGTCTCCACAACTCAGCCAGAGAAGCCACTAGTGACTGAAGGAAACAGGTAGGAGACACAGCAGGGAAGAACAGCCAAGGTTTCTGATGGTGGGATTTCATACAATTTATGAGATTATTTTCATTCAGTTTTTCCCCAAAATCAAAACTTTTATTTTAAAATATCGGATTTGAGAGGAAAGTGCCAACAGGTAAAACATAGTAAATGCCGCTTTACTGAGTCATTAGCAACATGGTGACCTTCCCATAACACATCCAGGTCATTCAGGGCAGAGCGATGATGATCAGCATCATACTCCTGTGACTTCAAAGCATACCAAAGTAGGAAAGTCATAGTTTAAAATTCAAATACAATTCTATGAACAGTTATTGTATTAATCTGGTTCTGTGCCATTATGGAAACCCAGTTTGGTGGGATTATTATTTTTGCCAGCTGAAGAACCCAAAAACCAGTGATCAGACACTAGAAAAAAAAATTTTTTTAAGACAGCTGGGGTGCTTACGTGCATCCTCACTGATTCCCTTCAAAAAGAAGTAAAGTTATAGAAATTTTTTTTTTAAAGACAGTGGTGTTAAGCACCAACTAAGTAATTCATGAGAAGGAAAGGGACTCTCTTAGAGTCTCCCATTGCTAAGTATTGCCCTATGAGTAAAATATCTATGATCTTACTGGATTCTCCTAAGATTGTATTTCTCTCCCTATTTTACTTGTGAAGAGAAGAGAGCCTAGAGACATCCCATGGCCCCTACAAGGTCATATCACTATGGCCATTTCCATCTGGACACTCTCTGGGAAATGACCCATGGTTTACTGACCACTGTCAGGATAACAAGGACTCTCACATTTATTTCCCCTGAGGGCCCTCTTTCCTGAGCAGCAGATCCAAACACCTCCATGTGGGTGCCCCACAAATTATTTATCAGGGTCATTGTCCTCAGACAACTTTTTTCTTTTTCCTATCTTTCTTTTCTCATGAGCTGATCCCACCACTCTCTGTCTCCTCTAAATCACAGACTGGAAAGCTGCCAAGTGTTCTTTTTCCTTCCTACCCATATTGAATCAGTGGTGAAGTCTGGCCAGTTCTAGTTCCTCAGTATTTCTGTTATGTTGTCATTTCTTTAATTCAGGCCATTGGCATCTTCAGCTAGGATTTTTTTTTTTAAGAAATTTCTGTTATAGGGCACGTGCACTTGTCATAAAGGCAGAGAGAGACAGAGAGACAGAAAGTGAGAAATCACCCCTCAGGGGGATGACCATCCCACAACCCCTTCTCCATTCTCCTTTTGGAATCTTGGGCATGCATGCACACATGCCCAGCATGAGTTTGAGCAACTAAGTCTGGGACTCGAACTGCAGTCAACTACATGGGAGTCCAGTGACATAGCCATTATGCCAACTGCTGGTCCCCAGCTAGGATTATTTTTAAAAAACTCCTGCCTGGTTCAGATCTTCTTCAAGATCTTCACTGAACTCTGAACCGGTTACTGTCCTGATTTGCATCACTCACTGACTTCCTGTGGCTTCCAGGGTTAATTTTAAAAGCTTATGGATTTGATCCCATCTACTGTTATCTCCAGTCACTTCCCAAACTCCACCTTTCCTCCAGCCACACTGTGCCTCTGGCAGTTCCCCAGATCTATCCTGCTGTTAGCTGCTTTGGGGTCTTTGCACTCTTCCCCCTGCCCAGTGACCACCATCTTCAGAGCTGCTATTGACCCTTAAGACTAAGCCCAACCCTACGGGACCAGCAGTTAGCATAATGGCTATGTTGCTGGACTCCCACGTAGTCGACCACGGTTCGAGTGCACGCGCCCTAAAGCAAAAACCTCTCCAAAAAAAAAAAAAAAATTAAAAAAAAAAAGACTAAGCCCAATCCGAAGTCTGATTTGGACTTGTATACTCACTTCCATCAAGCACTAAACTGAATTAAGATGTTTTTACTTGTCTGTCTTTCCTATTAGACTGTGAGCACTTTGAGAGCAGGCCTGTGTCATATTCACCTGTGCATCTGCTCATCTGTGTCTGGCCCACACTAGATGCTCATAAATGTTCTTGAATTGTGGCAAGCCAGGAGGCAGCTGCTGAATTCAAAGGTTATGTCTATAATAGACTCCTATATTCTTATGTGCACATGCGTGTGCATGGACACATATAAACACACACACAATTTGTCTGTTTCCTCCATTGAAATATCACCTGTGTTTGTTCTGGGCGTCCCAGTTTTACAAAGCACATACATTCACATTTGCTTATGTACTAGGTTAGAGTTCAGGAAAGAGACTGGACAGAAGACACACAATGGCAGGTCACCATTTGATTCTCAAGATTCCAGGCCACCCTCACCCAAAGTCATGAGGCCGGTCCTGTGTCAGGGCAGCCATTCAAACCGGCAGTCCTCTCTTTCCACTGGCACCAGGGCACCCTCCCATCTGCTGCTCTCCATCTGCAGTTTGCCTAGGAAGCCACAGTGGCCTGGTCCATGTAGACTCAGTAAGTCCAGGAGGACCCTGGGAACAAAAGAGGACTAGAACATCATTAACAAAAAGTGACCTCAAACAAAGGAACCTTGGTGCAAAATATGATATCTAGTGGGAATGTATTAGGTGTAGGAGTCTCAGGGCAATGGTTTTTAAAAAGATTAACTAATGAGAGCAATCTGGTTTGTAAATATTTGTTTCTGGTTCTCCAGCTGTAATACAAACTTCAGTTTCTGCCAAAAACTTATTTGGCTTCTCTTCCCAATGGATGCCTGCTGGTTTATTTTCTGCAGAACAGACCATCGGGCACCTTTGCTAATTTTATTGTCTCCTGCAGAAGAAATTTTGGTTGGAGAGATAAAAAGAACAACTATCTATCCTTTCAGGCTGGAGTTAGCTGAAGCTTTTTGGAATGGAAACAAAGCTTGTTCTCTCCCCTCCGCCCCCTTCCTGCCCTCTATAGGAGGTTTCTCCAAATGCTGCCCATGTTTCTGGGCCTCCCTGTCCCACCACATCCATTCTGAGAACTTTGCTTTGGCCTTCCTTCCTTCCAGAGTTCTCTTCAGACACTCCCAGGTGTTTGAGAAAATCACAAAGGGTTTGGGGAAAGCCTAGTCCAGAAAATAGCAGTCAGTAGGCAGAGAACCACTTCCATTTTTTGCCATTTCTCCCACCTTACCTGCCTTCGCACACATCCTCTTCCTCCTTGGGACTGAGATGTGTAAATTAGTTCCTTCTTGTCTGTCTTCCATCTCAACCTGTTAACTGTGTCTTTCTCATCAGCATTTGAGCATATCCATGGCCACCTCCAAATATTCCCCTGGCTCTATATCTTCCCCTTCTAGGAGCTTTGGTGTCCTTTTGTCCTCGCTTAGCCAAATGAGGCACCTACAGTATTAGTGGCAAGGCCTGGCAGCAGTAGCTGTTGGATGGTTGGTGAATGGAAGGATGGATGACTGGATGGATGGAAGAATCCAACAATGGAAAGACAGAAGGCTGTCAGGCCATGGAACACTAAAGTTTGTTTTGGGAACATACTTTCACCTAGCAATTTCAGTTTACAAAATGCATTCACATATGTTGCTTCGATGAATCTTTCTATGATGCCTGGTATATAGACACTTTAAGGGGAAAAAATCCCCCTCTTCTTCCCTCTTTGAAAACTTCTTCCATGAAGAAGGCTTTTCTGATAAATCCTGCCCTCTCATAATCATTTCTAAACTTTGTCCTGGGTCTGATGATAGCTGTTAATACCTCTCTATTGTAGTCACATACCTGTTCATTGTTTATCATCCCTGGGTCCCCAGTTATGGGCTAAAGATGGCTGGCAGGTGGTGTGGTCGTTAAAGGCATTGGATTCCCATATAGCCAACTGCAGTTCGAGTCCTAGGCCTGGTGGCCTGCTTTCCCTTTCTTTCTCTCTCTCTCTGTCACTGTCTGGTCAAGTTAAAAATAATAATAACAAATGGAATTAAATAAGTAAATAATTCTTTTAAAAATAGTTTGATAGTTATCACCACCACTCTCCTACACCATCCAGAGCATATAAAACATAATTATGTGTCTGGGATTACTTAAAAAACACTGATTGCCAACTCACTTCCCGATCTAATGTGCTTTCACAGGAATTACAACTATTTGCCATTCGAGGCCAAGAAGCCCTGCGTCTACTTCATCAGTTCTTGGGGAGATCAGACCTTCAGGCTACACTGGTCCAACGTGCTGGAGAAAATGGCAGACCTCCTGGTAGATGACTTTTACAAGCAATGGATTTGAGGATTGAGGACCTAGGGGCAAAAGGGGTTTTTAAAATCTCCCCAGTGGAGAGTTTTGATCTCGGTTTAAATACAAATTAGTTGAGGCTGTTGCCTTTGGAGGACACATGGCTCCTGCCAGGTGGATCCAGAGAAATGAGAACACATTTCGCAAAATCTCCAGACTTTAAATCAAGCCACAGGAATTCAAATTTCTGTTCTCCTTCTTACTGTTACTGGATATAGAGACAGGCTGATTTCCTAATCTCCAAAGAGCAGGGTGAACAGCTTTTTCACAAGTGATAGATCCTCTCTTCAGGTAATATAGAATCTAAACATACTGAACAAATTCCCTGCAGGATCAGACCCGGCCCATGTCTCCAACTCATCTCTCACACATTCTTCTTCCCTTACTTACCCCAGCTATAACCCAATGAAACCAGGACTAAACCCAAGTTTGGCTGCTCACCGCTAGAAAGTCAATGCTTGAGAAACAAGTGGTAGAAAGGAAAAGTAGCTTTATTCAGGAAGCCAGCGATTTGGGAATATGGTAAACTAAGGTCCAAAGACCATCTCCCCTATCCTGGTCTAGCAAGAAGGGTTTTAAAGAAGAAGTAAAGGAAGGGACTGCATGCTGTCCAGGGCAAACTCCTTAATGTCTGGGTTGTGGTTTTCAGCTATGCTGGTCACCTGAACCTGAATATTAGTTTTTATCTTCCTCAAGCACATCTGTTCGTTGCAGCCTCAAGGTCTGGTTTCTGCAGAATCTCCTTAAAACCATGATTCGTTTTCGCAAGTTATTAGGTTTAGTATGGAATTATTTTGAGTGCTCTTGTAGCCTGGCTACACGACCATACTGGTCTCCTTTGAGTTTCTGCAGAAACCATGTTCCTTTCAGCCATTTGCTCTGTTGGGTCACTTTCTCCACATTCTTCTCCTGTATGAGCCAATCCACATTTCTGGCTCACTTTCAAGCATTTCTCAGAGAAGCCTTATGAGTCCACCTGCACCCACCCGCTCCCATAATACCCTGTTCTGTCCCTTTGGACTTCTTACCATCATTTATGATTTACTTGTGTGTTTATCTGTCCAGTAACTACTTTCTACTGTTTGTATGGCATTTAGCATAATACTTTGCCCCCATTCGGGTCTAAATCATTATTTGGAGAGTTGAATTTTTTTTTTTTTTGGAGAGGTTTTTGCTATAGGGCACGTGCACTCACCAGACAGACAGAGAGAGACAGAGAAACAGAAAGAGAGAAATCACCCCCCAGGGGGGATGGCCACGCCGCAATCCCTTCTCCTCCATTCTCCTCTCGGGATCTTGGGCACGCATGCACACGTGCCTGGTGTTAGTTTAAGCCACCGGGTCCAGGACTCGAACCACGGTCGACTACGTGGGAGTCCAGCGACATAGCCATTATGCTAACTGCTGGTCCCAGGAGTTGAATTTTTCGAAAGTATGAAAAACAGTGCCAATATGCAATAGATGCTATGTTTTCCCATCTAGCCCTCTGGGAAGAGAGACAATGTTAATATCTTGCACGTCCCTTTTTGAACTCTTTTCTCCTACTCCCACATTTCATGCCCACCCCACACATCTCTTGGGGGAGTGTCCTCTACTCTCTGTCCCACAAGCCTCATCCTTTTTAATTCCTCCTGTTCCATCACAACCTACAGTAAGGAAAGAACAAATTTCTCTTTCCCATTTGCTTTATATTCTCATCTCTAAATGGGTAAAAACAAAGTATTGTCTTTGGTCCTGGGGATTCCAGGCATCATGGAGACAGACTCTGAGAGTGGTCAGGAAAACCTGGTCTGAGTCACACCAATTGGAGGCCACAGATGCTCTTTGTAAGGCTGGTTTTACTTCTCCTTCAGAAAGAACAAAACAAATCAGAATTTTTCTTAGAGGCCTCATTTCTCATTCCTTTCTCAGTGCCAGGATCCTTGCTATGCTTGGCATATGATAACTATCAGAACTGAATGTTGACTAATCACCAAGCACTTGTCTACCCCTGCAGTGTTTTAGGTGGATACTACTCTCATTCCATTTTATAGCTGAGGAAACTGGCCCTCAAGGGGCTACTTTACTTATAAGCCATAGAGTCTGTATTTGAACCTAGGCTGTTTGACCTGAGAGCCTAAATCCTTAACCACTTCACAAAGAAAGCAGAAAGAGAGGAACACATGCATTCAAGTTCCAGACTTTTTGTTTGTTTCTTTCTTTCTTTCTTTCATGAGAGAGAGAGAGAAGCGCCTCAACAGGATCTCATTCCACAATCCCTACCCCACTAGCCTTTTCAGCCAACCAGGACCATGGGCATGTGTGCCCAGTATGATAGAGCTGGTGATTTTCCACAGGGATCCGACATCTCTTGAGTAGTAAGCTGGCTGTATATCACTGAGAAGCCTGAGGATATAGTTTTATAAAATATAGAAAAATAGTGGCAGAATGTACATTTTTCTTGGGTACCACTTTCTTTAAGCAACTGAATAGAATCCTAAAATTTGAGTCCAAAAGGAAAAGTACAATGATTAGGTATATATGCATGCAGTTATTGCCACATATAAACTGCTCCTTCCCCTGGCCAAAAACTCATGTAATCAGAAAATTGATAATTCTTTCATTTCAGAGATAATCCAATATGATTATATTACTATATAACAAATGAACTTGAACATGGCTTTTGAAGATTTTGGTAATTCTATCTAATTGATTCTACTTTGTTATTTCCCAGGACATTTGGTGTCACCACAGGGTAGGCTCCAAAAATATTGCCCAGTTAGGGACTGGATTGACATTAATAATATGTTTGGGCAACATAGGAGAAGACTTGTTTCTGGATCAATTTTACCTAGAAAAAGGAAGGCTCAAAGTTAGAATGCAGTAGCACCTCCCAGTTCAAGCACAAGAAAATGAGGGAAAGCTTCCTTCATTTCTCAATGAAATTGACTAGGTATTATTTCTGCGCTGTTACCGTCAGTATAACACCTACATGTCTCGTTCCCACCCCTCATCCTTCCACCCCTGTGGTTTGGTTTGTTGTCAGGAAGAAAGTATAGAAGAGGTGAGAGAATTGATCAAGATCTCAGAGGACGCACCAGAAGAGAAAATGAAGACGGTGCTCAGCGACTTTATCAGTCAAAGCAGGTACTGGGAGAGACAGCTGCCAGTGCAGAACTGAGCTCCCATGGAATCAGCTTTTAATTACCTTCAGAAAGTACTCCATTTCACATGCATTCAGATGAGCATTTGATAGTCTTACATCCATTTTTATTTGTTCAATAATTTGGCTGGTGCTTGTGGACCAAATACTGCTTTATGACACTTAAACCACTAAAACATAAACCAAAGGGAGGAAAGAACAGAAAGAAAGACTTCCGGCTGAGACTGTTTACGGACCAAGAAAAATGCTAGCAATGTCAGTGCTCAGCATGGCACTTTGCTTTTGGTAATACTCAACAGTCATTGTGCAATTAGATGGATAAGTCATGTCATGGGTTGTCAGAAAAGTCATGATGCATTTTTGCACTGAAAAACAGAAAAAAAAGTCAGGATGTTTCTGACAACCCAATACTATTTAATAAAACTTTTTCATATAAGACATGAATAAGCATCAATTAAGGACTTATTCCAAGTAGTAGACAATATAATAAAAGATGAAAAATAGGATGTGTAGTTATCTGTTACCCAAAACTCACTGACTTAAAAAATGCTTATTACTGCACTGTCTCTGTGGGCCATGGATCAGGTATGGCTCCTTAGTTTCATTCCAGGCACTGAGGGAGGTTACAGCCATATCAAGGCTCACATGGGAAGATTCACTTCCAAGATCACCCATGAGATTAGTGGCAGGATTTAGCTCTTACAGGAATGTTGTATCAAGGACTTCAGTTCTTTGCCAGTGATTGGTGGAGGCCACCCCCATTCTTGCCATGTAGGCCTCTTAGAGCTACTTCTCACAACATGGCAGCTTGCTTCATCAGAGCAAGCAAGCCGGAAAAGTCAGAGAGGATGTACCAGCAAGGTGGAAGTCACGGTCTTTGATAATCTGTACCTCAGGAGTGACAAACCATTACTCTTGCTGTATTCTGTTAGAAGCACTTTATTAAGTCCATCCTGCATTTAAAGGGAGGGACTTTCTCACTGTTGGGAATAAAAGGAGTTCACACTCACTGTGGGCCACTTTAGAGGCTGCCATAAGGAACAGCTTGGATAAATGCTTATTTCGTACCAAAATTAACTGCACCTTAATTCCATTTCCACAGACATTCTGAAGTCCTGTTATATATCACAGGCACCTTTCTATAGTAGCACATGATAGACCTCATGAATATTTTATTTCGTGGAGGTGTTCTGATCTATTTAACCATCTTTAAGTTCTTCCCATTGATTTTGCTAATGTAAACCTAGGGTAACTGTTTCTGTGTAAATATATCCTTTCAAAATTCTTCAGTTATTTTTGAAAGATAAGAATTTTGGTGTAATTATGTACACATTTCCATTCATATTATGTACATGTTGAAATTTCGATGGGTGTTGTTACAGAGTCTCTGAACATTGTAACAATTTATACTCCCTTACAATAGTATACACTCTCCATATGTTTACCAATTTTAGATATTATTCACTTTTTAAGAGATATTTTTGCTTTAGGGTGTGTGTGCTCACCAGAGAGACAGAGAGAGAGAGAAAGTGAGAAATCATCTCCCAGGTGGGTGGCTATGCCACAATCCCTTCTCCTCCGTTCTCCTCTTGGGATTTTAGGCGTGCATACACATGTGCCTGGCAAGAATTTAAGCCCCTGGGTCTGGAACTTGAACTGTGGTCGACTACATGGGAGTCCAGTAACATAGTCATTACCCCCATATGTTGATTCCAATACACAACTTTTTAGGAAAGTTTAGATATGTGTTAAATTTGTAAGATGAAGGAAAACTTATTTTGTGTTTTGTTCTGAATTTTGATAGCAATCACAGTGGATATATACTGCAAGAAAGGGTATGTGTTAAATTTGTAAGATGAAGGAAAATTGCATTATTTTGTGTTATGTTCTGAATTTTGATAGCAATCACAGTGGATATATACTGCAAGAAAGGGGAAAAACAATCCTCCATTCTCCAAAACTAATGTCAGATCTAGGCATCATCACCAATTCTCATTTCGTCTGTTAGAAGAGTTAGTATGTCATTGCTTAATCCTAAATTAAAGATCTTGGTTCTGTGGCTTCATCAGCTTTACCATTGTGCTGCAGAAAGCATATTTGGAAATCTCTGAAATTATATAAATGGATTTTTCACTAAGTAGATTTCAAAATTGTTATTCTCAATAGTGCCTTTATCGCTGAAGCAGAAAAGAAGCCCAAGATGTCGAACCAAACTACTTTAGATAAGAAACGACTTACGCTCTGCTGGCAGGAGCTGGTATGTGAAAATCTATTTATACTTTGAACAGAGTTAAGACATGTGCTTTAAAAATAACCCCCGTGGATGAGGCATAGGTCATAGACCAGATGAGGATAAGGTTTAAAGGTCATGCATTAGTGTGATGTAGAGGCATGAGTGAGAAGGAAATCTTTTTTGAATTGGAAAGAAACTAGCTTATATCGAAGGTTACAAGGATGAAGTAGAAGCCCACCACACCCACTTCCTATTCTGATGGCATTCCCCCCTTGCTCATTTTCTTTCTTTTTTAAATGTGTAATATTTTAAGTTTATTTTTGTTTTTCATGAATAGGAGGGGAAGAGAGAAAGAGAGAGAGAGCTCCCCAACAGGGTCTGGACACCATATCCACCCCCAGCCTCAGCCAGCCTTGGCTCATGGGCACCCTTAGGCTTGGCATACTCAGGCTCAGAGTGGTCTCCAGACATGAACCTGGAACCTTCCTTTGTGGGCCAGCCTTGAAGGGCATGATTTACTGCTGCACTGCTGTTCCAGCTCTCTCACTCATCTTCTTGACATTTGTATTTTGTTACAAGATGTAGACCCTTTCACTTGAGTCTCTGCCTCATGAGCCAAAAAGCCCAAAGAAATAACTATTCTCCCTCTCCTTGGGTTTCTGTCATTAAGAACCATGTTAAAGGTTGAAGCACTTCTCGAGAACCAGGGCAGTAGCTGATACCTCTCTGTGTCCTGGACACTTGGGCAGTGCTGGGTGCCTAAAGGTACGCTCTCTCTCCTGGTTGAATGAAGGCTGATTGAGAAATGCCAGACCAAGCAGACAACCATTTTACGTGAGGTCATGATACTTCTGCAAAGAAAAATTACTCAGTGTTTTCTTTCTCAGGAACATTTTGAAGATATGAGAGAGCACAGGGCGATCAAATTACTTTCTAAAGGTCATAGCTAGTTAACTGTAGTCCAGAGACTAAAATCCAAGTCTCTTAACTTGCCATTCATTCTTTCCAGAACGCCTCTTTTCCAGGTCATTTAGCGGGAAGACAGATTCTCACCATCTCTAAAATCTTTTTACTGCCCTGATTCTTTCTCAGCACCTCTAGCTAAAGTGCTGCTCTGCCTTGTCCCTCCATAACATGTTTTCTGCAGAGTTGTATTGTCTCATTGTCTGACAGTCATTGGCCTGAGAAAATCCTCAGTCTCAGTTTCTCTGTGTGGCCCAGTGGACATCTTGCATGCTTATCTCCCACCATCTTAAACTCAGCCTACTGAATCCTCACCTTAATCAAACATATTCTGCATTCTGTATTGGCTCTACCAGCTATACTCGCTGCTCCAATCAGAAGCCCTAGAGTCAGTGTTGGCTTTTTTTTTTTAAGCTTGTTTATTTATTTCTTCCATGAAAGAGAGAGAAAGGATAAGACAGAAAGAGAAAAGAAGTATCCCAACAGAATTTTCATGCTGCAATCCACTCCCAGACCCAGACTCAACCAGCCAGAATCATGGGCATGTGTGCCCATGGCCAGTATGTACAGGAGACCCCAGACCTTCCCATGTGACGTTAGCATCGCAAAGTGTTACATTAGTGCTGTGCCATGTAGCTGACCTCTGTGTTGATCTTTATTCCTCACTTTAATCAGCCAGTTTGGTCCCAGGTCTTGTCAATTCTGCCTCTTGAAGACTCTGAAACGTGCTCCATTCCATCCCCCAAATCACTGCCTAAACTTCATTTCCGGGCATCACTGTTCTAGACTACTGCAGCAATCGTCCTTGCTTTCTCCCATCTCACCTACTATATCACAACCAGCATGATCTTTCTAAAACACGACTCTGATTAGATCACTATTGCTTTAAGAACAATCATTAGAAACTCCCAGCAGTTAGCGTAATGGCTATGTCGCTGGATTCCCACGTAGTGGACTGCGGTTTGCATCCCAGACCCGGTGGCTTAGAACTCACACTGGACACGTGTGCCTGCCCAAGACCCCGAGAGGAGAATGGAGGAGAAGGGATTGCGGTGTGACCATCCCCCCTGGGGGGTGATTGCTCGCTTTCTCTCTCTATGTCTCTCTCTGTCTGTCTGGCAAGCGCACGCACCCTATAGCAAAAACCTCTCAAAAAAAAAAAAAAAAAAAAGAAAGAAAGAAACTCCCAGTTGTTCATAGGGAGAAGTCAAAATTCCTTTAATATAATATGCAGGGATATTCACCATATGGCTCCAAACAAGCATCCCAGCCTTACCCCCATTACTCCCTCGCCATAGATCTACGTGCCAACAAAGTTGAACCTTTGGTGATTTCAAATCTTCACTTGTAATTGTTCCGTCTGGACTGTCCTTCATCTTCTTAACACCTGATAACATTCATTCATTCATTCATTCATTCATTCATTCATTTATTTATTTATTTATTTTAGAGGTTTTTGCTGTAGGGTGTGTGCACTTGCCAGACAGACAGAGAGAGACAGAGACAGAAAGTGAGAAATCACCCCCCCAGGGGGGATGGCCACGCCACAATCTCTTCTCCTCCATTCTCTCTCAGGATCTTGGGCACGCACGCACACACAACCAGCATGAGTTTTGAGCCACCGGGTCCGGGACTCGAACCATGGTCGACTACGTGGGAGTCCAGCAACAAAGCCATTATGCTGCTGGTCCCAAATTTTATTTATTTTTAATGAGTCAGCTCAAATGTCCAATTCTCCATGAAATCAGCTTTGCCCCTGTTTTACTCCATAATGCTGAGCACACTTTAATTATTCCTGTGTATTATTTCACCTCACCAACCTATCAACGTCTCAGGGAAAAAATGGATTGTGTCCTACCCCATTCCAGGCCTTAGATCCTAGCACAGGACTGGCAGATAGCAGGTATTCAATCCTTTCAATCAACATTAACAGAAGGCTTCCTACATACCAGACTCTGTGCTAAGTGCTGGAAACATAAAACTGAAAGTTCTTGGTGCTCATCTTTAAGGAATTTACATTGGGTTGTCTAGAAGGTCTTGACACATTTTTGCATAGGAAAACATTAAAAAAATATGTCATGACTTTCCTGAGAACATAATAGATGAGCTGGTTCATTCATTCCATTAACATTCATTAACACCTTCCATGTGCTAGGACCTCTGTCAGACACTGAAAATTCAAAGTAGGAAGACAGAGGAGGCCCCTGTCCTAGTAAAGACAGGGAAGAGACAGAAGACAGACAAGTAAACAACAAATACATTAAATGATGACCAGTTATGATGATAAAGGAAATTTTAGAAGGTCACAGTGATAAGAAAAATATGAGGGAATGTAACATAGTGGTGATGTTTAGGTGGAGACCTGAAGGATAAGAAGAAACCAGCCAAGTGGAGAAGACAGAAGACAGACAAGTAAACAACAAATACATTAAATGATGACCAGTTATGATGATAAAGGAAATTTTAGAAGGTCACAGTGATTAGAAAAATATGAGGGAATGTAATATAGTGGTGATGTTTAGGTGGAGACCTGATGGATAAGAAGAAACCAGCCAAGTGTAGCCTCAGCACAATTAGGCAAGAGAAAACATCATGCATACCAGCCTTAGGACAGACCAAGCTTTTTACGTTTTAGGAACTCCCAAGGGTCATAGCCAGGAGGCAGTGAGAGAGGAAGGGAATGTTCTGAAATGAGGCAGAGAACAGGCAGGGCCAAGTCACACAAGACCTTAGAGGTCACTGTAAAGAGGGGTTTTGTTTGAAGCACATAAATATGAGCTGAATGAATGAATAAAAAACCACTTTGGGATGTTCCAACCACTCATACTGAGCTCCTGGCAGTACTTCTCACAAGATGCCTTCTCAATCTAGAAGCATCCAGAGATGGTTTGTACAATGATAATGGACACTGGACTCTGCTGGGGTTAATCTCCCCCTTGGCCACTCAGCTGTGAAGTGTAGAGCTCTGTGTAGCGCTTATAAGCACCTTTAGGACTCTCCAGCCACAGACAGTGTTTGTTGTCCAGACTTCTAGAAAAATCTACACTGACTCTTATCTAATTTTAGGAGATGATGACCAAGGAGGCCAAGGCGATCATTCAGCAGCAGAAGAAAAAGTTCTCTCTCGATGAAATGATCCATGAAGCCCAAAACTTTGTGGAAAAAATTCGCTTTCTTGTCGATGAGGTAATTGACTCCAATGGCAAACCTCATTTTGGGAGATTAGATCAGATGTCTTCTTAGTGAGGTTCGGATGTTTGGTTAAGAGTGAAAGATGGGAAAAGCATTTCATTTGTCCATTTATTTGTTTTATCCCTCCAAGCCCTGCTGAGCTGAGGTACACTATTAGTTCAGGGGCTAGAGAAGAGATTTTTAAATTAAGCAAAATGTGTGCAGCTTTATTGATCTTTTACAAAGCCTGAATATTCAGCAAAATACAAATCCTTTTCTCTAAAAGACTTAAGGCAAATCAAAATAAGCATGGGAATTTTGAAAGGTTTTCAATAATAAGAGGATCTAATTGACATGTCCAGTAAAGGTCAAAATATTGGGTCCTCAGAAAAGTCATGAAAAATACATCATGACTTTTCTAGCAACCCAATAGCTTCTCATTTTAAAGTTAATTGTAAGCAGTGTCTTCTGGTGACTTCTAGAATAATCTAAACAAAGGTTGTCATATTCACTTCTGCCAGATACAGAAGGTCCTTCTTGAAGCCCGCAAATGTTGAGAAACTTCTTAAACCATTTTTATGTGGAAAGGTGTCAAGGAGAGGTACAGATTGACTGCTTCTATTTCCAAAGTTGTAATTCTTGTCACAAATTGATCATTCCCTCAAGGCATAACAAACATGAGACAGGAATTCGGTAAACAAAGAATTTTAATAAGCACCCAGAAGGTTCAAACCAGGCATCAAGGCTTCAGGTCTGTCACTGACTGACCCAGGACCAGGAAAACTTCCATCCAGGGTCTATACGTTCATATCAAGAGAGAAGAAATGCCCCCCTTGGGTATCAATTACACCTGAGTGTAGGAATTAGAAAGACTGAGCAAATGCCTTCAGTCCGGGAATGTCAAAACCTAGTTTATAATAACACACTTCCTTTCGGTAGTTATGTTGGTTTAGAAATGTGCATTTTAAACACAATCTGATGGGCCACTTGGCATGGAATTCCACACTTCCTATTTGGATTAGTTCAACCAAAGTTAATTTCCTGTGCAATTTAGAAGTTTCTGCCATGTAATCACTGAAAATGGAGCTAAAATACTTGGTAAGCATATTTTAGGCATAAAGTTCCTTGTAGAATTGTTTTTTCTTCCTTAAGAGCAAATGAAAAGTCATCCAAAAGACATTCATGATTTTGATTTTTTTTTTCATTTAAATATTCTGGCTTTGAGGAAGTCCAATGCTTACAGCTACATCCTTATTCCAAGGTTGAAAAAAGAATCCATGAGGGACCAGCAGTTATGGCTATGTTGCTGGACTCTCCTGTAGTCGACTGCAGTTCGAGTCCTGGACCCAGCAGCTTAAACTCACGCTGGGCGCATGTGCATGCATGCCCAAGATCCCGAGAGAAGAATGGAGAAGAAAGGATTGGGGCATGGCCCTCCCCACCTCGGGGGTGATTTCTTGCTTTCTGTTTCCCCATCACTCTCTGTCTTTCTGGCGAGTGCATGCGCCCTATAGCAAAAACTTCTCCAAAAAAAAAGAAAAAAGATCCATGGGAAATTGTAGGAAAATGTGTATTTTATAGGGAAAAAAAGGAGGCCATCAAAGATGCAAGAACACGGGTCCAGCTTGCCTATCTTTAAAGCACGAATGATTTGGCTTATGAGTTTTTCTATTTCTAATCCATGATCCCAGGCATTCTCTTCTCAAGGACCTACATTTGCTTGATTGCACAGATGTATAAAACCCTAGATAGGTTAAGTTACAGGATTTGTTTAGCAGAAGAGGGCTGTTTCAGGACAGGAGAGCTCCGGAAGTGCACTTGTGAAACACTGACCTCACGAATCCCGCACCCCTCTGTCCCCTCAGCCGCAGCACACCATCCCTGACGTCTTCATCTGGATGCTCAGCAACAACAAGAGGGTGGCATATGCCCGCATCGCCTCCAGGGACCTGCTCTATTCCCCTGTCAGGGAGCAGATGGGCAAACACTGTGGAAAGATCAAAACTCATTTCCTCAAAGTAAGTCTGTAACACTTTCGATGAAAAGAAGGAAAATTTTGGTTTCTCTTTTCTTTCTGGGGGGCTCAGAACTTGATTCAAACTGCAATTCAGTAGACCACCTTGAGGCAAGATCTCTTCCAGTTTTCCAGTTATTACATCACGAACACATAAGAGTTTCTTTTCTCGATAAAGTGAGTGTACCTCAGGGTCACTTTCATTTTTACTTCTCTGATTACTAGCAAGAATGAGCATCTTTCTACTAGTTTCCTCACAACCTTTACTCTTACATAATTTGTTCATGACATTTTTTTCATGAGTTAATCTATATTTTAAAAATATATCTCAGAGAAAATGACAAGGTGCAACAGAGCTGCTGATTCAGGATTCCTGATGATGTTTCATTGTAAAAATCAAATAGCCTTTTCATCTTGAGGCCCTGCACCCTTCATGAAGACAGGATCCCCAGTACTTCACAAATAGACCCTCATAGACATAATCTCTGGGTAGATTTTACTGTCTCTAACTCAAGATTTGTCTCCTTCTTGGAGATAAATCTGGTATTTTATCTCTGGTATAAAGAAATTGCTATTCCAGCAAGTGGAAATGAACAAATATGAAGACAAAGTGACCTAAAGCCTTAACACTTACCAGTTACAGTCAGCAAGAGTGTGGTTCAACTGATGGGCTTTTCCCAACTCATTGTAGATTGTCCTGCAATTTCAGTCCTGTTTTCTTGCTATTATCACATAATTATTCTTCTACTGCCTCAGAGGGAGGCTGAAAAGATGCAAAATCATGCCATATGAGGAACAGGTGAAGAGAGAGCAATGCTTATCTAAGAAAATATGACAGCATAAAAAAGGTTTTCAGTATTTGTGGGCTTCCATGTAGGTGGAAAAGCTGGAGACAGGGAGGTGGGCTGTGGGAGATCCCAGAAGATAAAACCAGGCCCCACAATAGAAATGATAGGGAAATAGTGCTCTAAAATGGAACTCTACAAAAGGTTCTTTATCCTTCAAGGTATCAAAAGATGCGGAGGCAGTTAGTGTAATGGCTATGTCGCTGGACTCCCACGTAGTCTACCGTGGTTCGCGTCCCGGACCCGGTGGCTTAAAACTCACGCTGGGCGCATGTGCATGCATGCCCAAGATCCCGAGAGGAGAATGGAGGAGAAGGGATTGTGGCATGACCATCCCCCCGGGGGGTGATTTCTCGCTTTCTGTCCCTATGTCTCTCTCTGTCTGGCGAGCACACGCGCCCTATAGCGAAAACCTCTCAAAAAAAAAAAAAAAAAAAAAGGATGTGGACAGGGCTAGGCAGGTGGCATGGTGTTTAAAGCACTGGACTCCCATATGGCTGACTATGGTTTGAGTCCCAGACCTGGCAGCTTGCTTTCTCATTCCTCCCCACCCCTCTCTGTCTCAGTCTGGTCAAATTAAAAGGTGATGATAATGAATAAAATAAAATAAAATAAATAGTTTTTAAAAAGATGTGGACAACTATTTTCTATGAATATGCAGTGGGTATCTAGATTTGATAGCCTCTAAGTGTTTCCCACTTTCAAAAGGCTATCATATGGGACCAGCAGTTAGCATAATGGCTATGTCGCTGGACTCCCCACATAGTTGACCACTGTTCAAGTCCCGGACCTGGTGGCTTAAACTCATGCCAGACGCGTGTACGTGCGTGCCCAAGATCCCGAGAGGAGAATGGAGGAGAAGGGATTATGGCGTGGCCATCCCCACTGGGGGGGGTGATTTCTCACTTTCTGTCTCTCTGTCTCTCTCTGTCTGGCAAGCATACATACCCTGTAGCAAAAACCTCTCCAAAAAAAAAAAATGCTGTCATAGACATGACTGTTACATATTGCAGAGAAAACAATCCATATTACTGGGTTGTTTAAAAAGTCATGACTTATTTTTTCCTATGCTTTTCTATGCAAAAGTGCATATTGACTTTTCAGACAACCCAAAATTAGGTGTGAGAACCAATATGAGATGATCATTTAAAGCCCGACTTTGAAATAAGGTAGTCTAGGTTGAAATTTGTATTATTGATAGTTTGCTAGGGCTGCTAGAATACCATCAACTGACTGACTTAAAACAACAGGTATTTGTTATCTCACAGTTCTGCAGGCTAGAATTCCCAGACCAAAGTGTTGTCAGGGTCACGCTCCAACTGAAGATGTTAGATAAAGACCTGTTCCAGGCCTTTCTCCAAGCTTCTGTTTAGTTCCTTGGCGTGTGCCAGCACAATGCAATCTTCACATGACATTATTTTCTGTGTGTGTGTCTGTGGCATTTTTTAACTAAACATACCAATGGTATTGAATTGAGGTTCTACCCTACTCCAGTACAATTTAGTTTTAACTAATTAGATTTATAATGACCCTATTTCCAAAAAAGGTCACATTCTGGGTCCTAGGGATTAGGACTTCAACATATGACTTTTGAGGGGAAACACAATTCAACCCATAGCAGAATTCCAGGGCCAACTGTTACTAGTGGTATGAACCTGAACAAGTTACTCAACATTCTTTATCCTTCAAAGGGATGAAGAACGTCTACCCCATTTTCCATCTGTTAAGTGGAGATGATGGTGAGGGTTAGGTGAATAAATGCAAGTAAAGAACACATAGTTGGGCCTCACCCAGAACAATCGTACAATAAATCCTAGCATTTAAACAACTGGATGCTCTACTTCCCAGAGGACATTGCTGTAACCGTGTGTCCCCTTCATAACCAGTGACTGCTTATGACTTTGCATGTTATTTTCTGCCATGTACATAAAACAATTTTTAAATGCACTCCTGTTAAACTGTAAATAGAAAAAGGAAATTTTCACTGGAATCATTCAGCATAAATATCAGGGATTTTCTTTAGCATTTTTCATTCAAGGAATGCTAGGAAGGCAAGAAACTTTTTGTAAAAAATAGCAAATCATTTCAAAAGGCCCTGTGCTAAAAAATACTAGAAAATGGTATAAAGTTTCTTGCTTCTAAATATTTTGATGTATTCTGGCACTATTTAAAATTAGAACAAAGAGCTGCTGTCAAATAAAGCCCGAGGATAGGCATAACTGAGAAGACAGACTCTTACCCTGTGGCATTTATCAACTGTGTATTATATCGGCATTTATCAACTGTGTATTATATTTATCAATACGTGTGGAAGCTTTGGCTTCTTTATCTGCATTTTCCTTTTGCCATTGAGATTGCTTTGGGCAATAGCTTTCTAAATCTTGTTGAATTCAATTATACCAACATGATAAGACACCTTGATAAGATGATTCAGCAAAACTATTTTCATTCCCGTTTTGATTTTCACCCTAAAAAACTTTCCCACTCTCCCTCCATTATATCCCTTTCTCCTCACTGAATTGGTAAATATGAAAAAAGCAACGGTTTTACCAGAGAGTGTTCTTAGCTGGGAATTAAGAAGTAGGGGGGAGAAAAATCATAGAATGTAACTCTCTAAAATCTCTAGGCTAGAATTTCCTCAAAGTTGATTCAGTGGAGAAACTGTCCTTTGAGCAGCTCTAGAAGTATCCCATGTTCTGATACCTTTTGGAGATTGCAGTCCTAACCTTAGAAATTCTTGGAGTTTCACAGTGCTCGTCAACGGTAGAAGGTTCCAAAAAGTCCTGTAGCCAGGAAACATCTTTGACTTTTTAGTACCCTCCTTTGCCAAGCCTATTCATCCAGAACAGCTATTGACAAGTTTTAGGAAACTTCTGTTCCAAGGGGCCCATGACAGGAAGTATTGATCTAGAGGAAACATGCTACCTCCTTGGTAGTCACCAGGCTAAATCAATAGTTGATGTGTATCTGCAACAGGGTTTCAAGGCTCCTGGTTCCATGATCTTGCTCTTTCTCTAATTCAAATATATTCAAGATGCTACTAAAAATGATGGAACAGAATTTGCGGAACTTAGCCCAACCCACCATCTAAAAAATCTGAGTTCTCCCCTTTCAGTTTCATCCTCACAGTGATCCTGAATGGCCAGAAATGTGGAAAAGGAATTCATTAACCAAAGGAACCCTTCCTATAAAAGGAACTAGATGCTCTCAGATTCCAGAAGGTGGCACTCAATCTTCCTTTTCTTTTTTCCTTGAGTCACCTCTCTGTTGAGTCTGCCCATTCTCACTCTGGGCTTTGTCCCTGTCCTGTCTTCCGTTGCATGCATTGAGTGGAGGCCATCTTTTTTTCCCCAGCCCTCCAGTTTTGCAACAAGACAAACACAAGTTGTTCTTACTGATGCTGATTGACCAGTCCAACACAGTTTGTGTGAATTATCATCTCTCTCTCTTTTCTATGATTTATCAAGGCCTTCTTTCTAAGTGTACGCCAGGACCCTGGTGGAAAGTGAATGAGGCAGGAGAATAGAAGACTATAGAGATAGATAGCAAAAGATTAAATAGACCGGCATGACATTAGTAGGACACAGATATGGTTTATTACCTATTGATGACAGCATGTATAGTATTCTCAACTGGATTGGTCTGAGAAGTATTTCATGTTGGGTAAAGTCTTTTTACAAGCAAAATGAGAAATAGTGATTGACAGTTTAAAAAATAATTGAAATAATAATAATGATAATGATGATTGGGATAAATAATGGAAAGCTATTGGATGATGAAATGGGGATTTTTAATGTGTCTGTATTGACTAATATGCATGGTGTTCCTTCTGGAAAAAGAAATGTAATACACTGTAAAGTTATATGTGATTCAATGTAATATAAACAAGATTATGATAATAACAAATAAAAAGAAAGAAATAAAAACTATATAAATAAAGTAAGTGAATGAGGCACAAGAGAGGCTAGACTTTAGCATCGTGTCTCAGCTAACATGTATATATTGGTGATTGGAGTTTTTGGATGCCCTTTGCAGTCTTTACTTTTCTCTGGTGTAACAATGCCTTCCCCCACCAACCCCATCTTACCATGCCATTCCCAAAAGGCAAGACCTTGCTGCGGTTGATCAGGCTTCGAGGGCACATGAGAGAGGAAGGAGAGTGAGAAAGAGAAAGGAAGGCAGGAACAGGCACACACCGGGTTGGAGGTGCATGTGAAATTAAAAACGGGATGCTGTTTCTGAAAACACCTAGGGAGGTGCTCAAAACCATTGGGTGACTCCAACTGGAATGCTTACATGAGATTCTCTGCATTGCCTTGCCAGCAAATTTCAATTCATGTATTTATTTATTTATTTATTTGTTTATTTATTTATTTATTCTTTAAAATAAACAAGCTGCACACTATAGAAGTGCAGCAGTGGTTCTTGTGGACACTTCTATGAAATGTTAGCTGAATTTTTTAACTTTAACCATGTATTTATACACACAAGCACACACACACACACACACACACGCGTGCACACACATATGCTTATTAGTAGCAGGAAAAATGATTTGTTGTTGTTTTGTTCTTGCTTTAGAAACAAAAAATAGCATTACTTGGGACAAGGTAGCATGGTACATAAAGAGCCTTGCTGCTCAACTACTTTAAACTGAGGTCTGTATATCAACAGGAGCAGCCGCAATAGGAAGATATGTAGAATCTGAAACCATACCCCAGGCCAGACACCCTGGCAATTCATACACACTGGTACACACAGAAGTGAGTGAGGAGCATTGGCTAAGGGTCTGGGCTCTGGAACCAGGGAGAGGTCAGTTTGAGTTTTGTCTAACTCTGCCTCAGCCTGTGACTTTGAACAGTTGCTTTAACCTCCCCGAACTTCTTTTTCTTCATCTTTAAAATGTATATAAAAGAAGTACTCACTATAGAGTTATCGAAAAGTATGCAATAGATTATTCACTCGACAGTATTTACAGTGTTGAGTGGGCGCCAAGTACTCTTCCGGGCATGAAGGGCATCACTCTGAGCAACAAACAAAAATTCTTGCCTTTATGACTTGATGTCTTAGTGATGTCTATAAAGGGCAGAGGAATTGTTTTGTTTGTTTTTTTTTTTTTTTTTTTTACAACGAAATAACCTTAGGTACTCAGAAACTATTTGTTTTATTGAACAAATGTTCAATGTATTTCAGCTATTATTAGGGAAGTGATGAATCGAGGATTATTTGTCTTCCTATAATTTTTAAAATCACAACTTATAGGGCAGCTGCAGTGAGGCAGCAGTAACATAACTGCAATTCTGAAGAAATGTGGGAGAGTCTGGAGTTCAGATCCTGAGGTCTTCTTTCAGGTGCCAGGCTTGCATGCACGTGACCATGACTCTGACTGGCTGAAGCTGGGGATGGATTATGGCATGAGGCTCCTGCGGGGAGCACTCTCTCTATTTCGTTTTCTCTCATGGGAGAAATAAATAAGCATTAAAAAATTATAGCTTGTAGAATGGTTGCATTTGCCACCAACAAAATAACCTTATTTACATTTTTTAGCTCAACAAATAATGACATTCCAATCTCTAAAGAATAAACCCTCGGGAACCAGCAGTTAGCGTAATGGCTATGTCGCTGGACTCCCACGTAGTCGACCGTGGTTCGTGTCCCGGACCTGGTGGCTTAAAACTCACGCCGGGCGCATGTGCGTGCGTGCCCAAGATCCCGAGAGGAGAATGGAGGAGAACGGATTGCGGCGTGACCATCCCCCCTGGGGGATGATTTCTCGCTTTCTGTCTCTATGTCTCTCTCTGTCTGTCTGGCGAGCGCACGCGCCCTACAGTGAAAATCTCTCAAAAAAAAAAAAAAGGAATAAACCCTCAACTCCTCCATGTACTCAGCAGAATTCTTCAGCTTCGTGTTTGTCACTCTCTGATCAGCTCTCATGATAACTGGTTGTGATCCCTTTTTTTCTGACAGTTCTCAGCACCATTTCTGATACAGAATAAGCACTCACTAACTATCAGCTCCTGAATCTTTGTCCATGTACTTTCTTCTTTCTTCAATGTCCTCTACTGGTTCAACTCCGAAGTACTGATAAAGTCCAGCTATGTATTTGAATCTTGTAGGAAGATGGAAATACCATCTTCTACTTCTCTGATCCCTTTAGCATTTTCTTGTTTACACTTGACTTTATACTTGAGTAACTGAATTCAAGTTAGCCTCCTCTTCTAGATATGACCGCTGCAGGGAGGTCAGGCTGTTCCTGAGTCATGTGATGGCTTCCCACTCTTAGCAAGGGCCTAGCAGCACTTGGCAGTGTTTGCTAAATTGAGCTTCTGCTCAAACGCCATTTTTGGAACCCACAGAGCAAATTAGAAAAACAAACAGCCATGTTCAATTTTGTATTCAAAGACTCTCCACAGGAGTCTTGGGATTTGTCAGAGCAAATTCTGGCCCCTCCTAATAGGATTTTATAATCCTCTGTGGAAAGAAAGTGGTGACAAAGAAAGGGGATATTATGGTAGAAAATTCTAGGCAACATTAAGAAGAGACACTTAGATGAGTCAACAAAATCTGGAGAGGCAGCAATGTCTTAAGTGCCGTCAGCTACTCTCAGAAAATGGCCTTCCAGCAATCCTGAACACAACCACTTCAAGGGCCCAGGGCCTCTTAGATGGCGGAAGGAAGTCCCCTAGTCCTGGTGACACTACCTGCTATCAGTTGTGTCCTTTCGATCTTGAGAATACCTGTACCTACGTACACACATGTACACACACATATGCATATGTACACGCTCCCCTGTGTACTCACACCATACACTAATATAGGCATAAGTATAGAAATTCAAACAAAGATGAGGACATGTATATATAAATCTGAGCACATTCAAAGAGAAAGCAGGGTAGTAAGGGAATCTGAAACCATTTTGTATCAGGAAGGGATAAAGGAGTGGTTGGCCAGGAAGAAATGCCACGCCAGAGTAGGGAGATTTTTCTAAGCAAGTACAGCTGACATGTAGAAGCGCTAACATTCTGAATGAAGGGAAGAGGTAGAAACCCATGTTGGAACGCCAGGAAGTTAGAAGTGTCAGGAAGGAAATTTCTGCTCAGTGTGAAGAAGAGGCAAGGTTATAGGATTCAGAGTCCAGAGTCTAAGTTTGAAATTATCTCCTCTGGGCTTGAATCTTGACTCTGTCACTTAAAAACTGAGTGACTTTGGCAACTTACTTAAACTCTCTGACCCTGAGCTTCCTCATCTGTTAAACAGAGGCAATAGATATACCTATTAGTTTAAAGGACACAGGACTCAGAAATGCTTGTGGCAGTGCATGTTTAGGCCTGAGGCTCCTCTACACCTAGACCCTGGCATTGTGCATTGTAGCAACTGGGGCCATTGCTGTCATTTTGATGTAAGAGGAGCTCTTGAGAACTGCTCTCTGAACACACCCCAAGACACATCCCCATAAAGTACCTCTTTTCTGCAAAAGTGAGGCCCACAGTTGTCTCCTACTAATGAGGTGGTCTTCCTTGTAACCTTTCCCCAGATTCCTGGAAAGCGGCAGGCTGGCTGGTCAGTGCAAGCAAAAGTCGACGTGTACCTGTGGTTGGGCTCCACCAGACACTCCAGTGCCATTTTGGACAATTTACCAGCAGGCTATGAGGCAGAAATTTCCTCTAATGTGGATGGTACTAATCACCCCCCAGCCAATCTGTTCTACCAAGGTATGATGCCACTGAGCAAGGAGAGGTCTTAGATGTCTCTGGTGGGCTTCTAGGAAAACAGTGAGGAGGGTAGCAGGCATGAGTTGTTTGCATCTTATTTTTAGATCAACTTATTTACCTTTTTCAATACAGTTTCTAAACATTCTTTTTTACCTTGCAATGTCCCATCTAGAAAGAATAAAGTGAAGTCATTAAACACATTGGGAATAAATGTTTATGGTTTTTTGTTGTTGTTGATGTAGGAAAAGCAATTTGAATTTCTTTGCAGTCAGACAAAGTGGGTTGCATTTGCATTTTAAGTAAATACAAATTTATTTAAAATGAAATGTCATTTCTTGTGCTAAAGTGACCTGTGGAATGAAGGCAGATTTTCTCTTCCATGCCTTCAGAGTTTTGACATGCAAACATCAGGCATTCATATTTCTCAGTAGTGACCTCTGGGGGACTGGAACTGGTGAAGTTATTCCTGTTTCTATAGCTTAGTTCTTAGCTTAACTGCTTTTTTAAAAATGATATTTATTTATTGTCTTTTCAAAAGATATATTTTATTGCTATTACTACATTCAATCATTGTATAGCATTAGTACATACAAAATGAATTTTCTAATCATGAATACACTGTATATTAGTCTGGTCAAAGATATTACCATACACATTATTATCAACAAATAATTTTCCATTTTTGTGTCTCTTAAATGTTTTGCTTCTTTCTTTTCACTCGTGATTCCCTTTCTCCCACCCTCCCCATTTCCTACCTTTCTCCCACACTGTCTCCAATATCCACAGTTGTTCTTCATGCTTTTTTACCTTCCAATCTTTTAGTTTCTCCATATAGTACAGGCATTCAGTATATATTGAGTGGGTACATACAATGACTCTTTTTCTTTTTTTTTTCTTGCCTTTTTTTTTTTTTACATTATAATTGATTCACTAAAGATCTTAATTAATTTAAAATCTTTCAATAGCAAGCAGAGATAGCGTGTGTGTGTGTGTGTGTGTGTGTGTGTGTGTGTGTGTATGAACACATATGTGATTTAGGCATAAACCTCAGTGAATAAAGTGAACATATTATAAAGTAGCACCTTGCTGGAACTATATAGCTTACTGCAGTCATTAAATAGGTATTAATAGGTATTTTTAATGCAGTTTTTAATTTCAAGGAAAACTGATTTAGTTTGAATAGATCAAAATAAAAAAATGTTAAGAGAAATTTGCTTAAAACTTTAAGCCAGGCGGGAACCAGCAGTTAGCGTAATGGCTATGTCGCTAGACTCCCACGTAGTCAACCGCGGTTCGTGTCCCAGACCCAGTGGCTTAAAACTCACGCCAGGCGCGTGTGCGTGCATGCCCAAGATCCCGAGAGGAGAAAGGAAGAGAAGGGATTGCGGCGTGACCATCCCACCTGGGGGATGATTTCTCGCTTTCTGTCTCTATGTCTCTGTCTGCTGGCGAGCGCACGCGCCCTATAGCGAAAAACCTCTCAAAAAAAAAATAAATAAATAAATAAATAAAACTTTAAGTCAGGAAAAAGCTTAGGATTCAGTTTAAATAGTAGGTAGATGAACCTATCAGCTGTTCAAGAGAAGATAAAAATCCTTAAATATGGACATCGAAGAAAATCAGTAATGTTTTAGTCTAAAGTCAAAAAATTCTATTCCACTAGTTCAGTCTCATGTAATTAATTACTCTCTCTTCTACTAATTTTGCAGTGATACTGTGGGCTGATCTTTCCATTTAAACTCTGGAAGTTTAAATGGAAAGCTCGGGACAGCCCTAGACTTGTCCCTCCCATTAGGCTGGCCATTCTCTTGTTTTTTTGTACTCTTATTTTTGTGTGTCCAACTTTAGTTTTCCTAGTATAGAACTCCTTGAGAACTTCTTGGAGAACTGGTCTGGTATTAGTAAATTCTTTCAGTTTTGTTTATCTGAGAATGTTTTTGTCTTTTTTCTCATATGAAAAATAATCTTGCTGGGTATAGTATTCTTGCTTAAAATTGTTTTTCACTTAACACTTTGAATATATTTTCCCATTCTTTTCTTGCTTGCATTGTTTCTGATAAGAGGTCCAATGTTAGCCTAATGGGATATCCTTTGATAGTAATTTGATTTTTCTCTCCTGCCTAATTTAGTATCTTGTCTCTGTCTGTGGTTTTGGTCAATCTGGCTATGGTGTGCCTTGGGAAAGATCTTCTTAGATACTTCTTTTACTCACCATAGGCCCCTGCATCATAAACAGATTAGTACAATTTATAAGAAACCGTCTCAACATTGTGCAAGCTATGGTTCTGACGCAAAGTTATGCCCAACTTTAATAACAAGAAATACTGTTTTGTTACTCTAACCCGATGCTTCTCTGCTTCTGTAAATCGCTTGGCAATGTTAATGAGAATGATTCCTCATTATGTACAACACAAGGGGGGAATGTTAGGCCGAGTTAGCATAATCACCGCCATGTTAGGGAATGCTGGGGAAGTTAGCTTAATCACTACCCTGTTGAGTCTTCAGGGACGGAGCCCACTTTGTTAGGGCCTCAAGGACGGGAACCAGGAGTCTGGGAACTCTCAGATAAGTGGAAAACGGGAGGGCCCAGCACCTCCGAGGCAAGGTCATCCAAATCCTTAGCTGAGAGCCCTTATCTAGACCTAAGCAGGTGGTGAGAGCTGGACCCTCGCGTCTCATACCCTCCCCCTTCCTTTGTGTGTTACAGTCTAGAGAACATCCTGAACTATAAAAGATCCCTTTATCTTAGGCTCGGGGTCCTGGTGAAGGCCTGCTGCGATGGGCTGAGACTTGGACCCCAGCTAGCTGGAAAAAAATTAAATAAAAGCCTCTTTTGCAGTTGCATTGTCGCTGTCTTTCCTGTGTCTCCATCAGTTAGACCGATCTCTGGCCCCTTACACAACCTTCATCTCTAACAATTCCATTTGATTCTTTTTTATGATAGGTATCTCTTTCAGATCATGCAAGAACTTCCTTACTTCTTGGAACTCATTGTTTCTTTTCTCCAGCATCTTCTGGAGTTTGTTGTCTGGTTTCTCTTGCATTTTTGTTAGCTTTGACTATGAATATTTTAAATTCTTTATCTGACATTTCCAGGAGTTCCCTTGTATTGTCTGTGGAGGAAGAAGAGTTATTCTTTTCTCTTATAGAAGAGATATTTTCTTGTTTCCTCATATTTCTTGTGCCTCTGTGGTGGATTCTGGTCATCTGATGAATTGTACCTTCTTTCCTAGTGTTTGGAGTTAAATTTGAGCACTCAGGAATGCAGGAGGAGGTGGCCTGCAATCTCTAAACAGTACTGTTTTTCTCCCTTTGTGCAGCTGATTCAGTGAAAATTGAGGATTAATTTGACCCTAAAACTATGCAGATATTTGGCTACTGAGCATCTCAACCTGTCTAGAGAATCAGTGTGTGAAGCTGAGCAGAAAAGTGAGAAAGGTAAAAACAAAAGGAAAAAAAAGAGGGGAGAGAGAGAGAGAGAGAGAGAGAGAGAGAGAGAAAAGACAAAAACAATAAAAAAAACTTTTTAAGCAAAAAATAGAAACTATACAGGAATGGGACAGCTCAGAACTCAAATATAGATGGCCGGAGATTGGCTTGTCCTATGGGGGAAGGGCGAAAGGTAAGAATTAGGAAGACAGAAGAGTGGCAGAGAGTTAAAAAGTTTTAAAAATATTAAAAATATATAGAGAGAGATGGAGAGAAACAGAATAAGTAGGGTGTGCTAACCTGGCTCCTGGCTAGGTCTGGGAGGCAGGAGGGTGAAGTGTGGGCAGGAGGTCTTCAGCGGTCCTAATGCCTGAATGGGGCTGCTGAGAACTCAGATAGATGGCTGCTGATTGGCTTGTCCTGGCTCCTGGCTAGGTCTGGGGGACAGGAAGATGAAGTCTGGGCAGAAAGCTTTTGGTGGTCCTAATGCCTGAATGGGGCTGCTGAGAACCAGCTTAACTGATTTTAGAAGGTTGCATCTTTTGTATAATTTTTTTCTTTCTATATTGTTATTTTCCATGAGAGTCATTATGTTTACATTTTTCACACAATTTGAATTTTATCATAAATATTAATGTCTTACAATTGCATTTTAATGTTTCCAAATCACTTCAATTTTCATTTCTTGCTAATGAATTCAGACAAGACAGGCTGCAGGCTTTAGCTTCTACCGAAGTTGAATTTTTTTTTTTTTGAGAGGTTTTTGCTATAGGGTGCGTGCGCTCGCCAGACAGACAGAGAGAGACAGAGAGACAGAAAGCAGGAAATCACCCCCCAGGGGGGATGGCCACGCTGCAATCCCTTCTCCTCCATTCTCCTCTCAGGATCTTGGGCACACACGCACACGCGCCCGGCGTGAGTTTAAGCCACCGGGTCTGGGACTCGAACCACGGCTGACTACGTGGGAGTCCAGCGACATAGCCATTACGCTAACCGCTGGTCCCTGAAGTTGAATTTTGAGGGGAGCCATGTCAGAAACTCCAGAGAAGTATCTACATGCCCAGGTTTCCAGGTTCATAGACGGTCCCCCTGATAATGGCTGACTTTGGCTGCCAGTGGACTCTAGTGGCTCAATAGTCAGAGAAGACGAGGTTCTAGAGATACGTGACAACTCGTCATTTCTGTGCCCAGGGCCACTGTGTAAGACTGTTCATCTTTTTGGAAAATGCATAATGTCTACTGTGTGCCAAGGATTGTGTCCTAGATTTTATATACAAGATCTCATTCAATTTTCCTATCAATCCCAGGAGACGTCTTCATTTTATAGATAGAAAAGTATATGTCAGAGGTGCTTAGAAACTGCTTGAGATCACACAGCTAACGAATGATGGAGCAAACTATCTTCAACCTCTGCTTTCTTTCCACTGTTTCCCATCCTACCTTAAGAATGTTTCCATCTTGGGGGGAAAATCATCTGCATTGAGTTACCTTCCTATTTCTGTAGGCGCTCTTTTAGAGACCCGTGAAACCCGATGTGGCTGCTATCCTGGTTATCAACAATTCAGAGGAGAGGAGCGATTTTGTTCAAAGCTGTCTGAACCTCTGCAGCAATTTTTTCTTTTTTTATGAAGTGACCTAATAAACTTTCTGTGCTGTTCACTGGCATTGATGGCTCTGGCTGCCTTCCATCCCTATTGGAGAATTTTATGCTGCAGAAAATATCCATTCAGCAAATAAATAGTTTGCATCTACATGTGAAAGGAACCATGAAACAAAAACTAGCGGGGGTGTAGAGGTGAGGCAATTAGACATGTCTCTAATAACCCCTGTGGAAAGTCACTGATAGCACAAGAGATGAGCCACTAAAGTGTCAGGAGACTGGCCACATTAGTCCCAGGAACTGAGCTGCTAAGACTCAAGGTTTCAGAGGACCAGCAGATGGCATGTCACTGTACTTCCATGTAGTCAACCATGGTTTGAGTCCTGGACCTAGTGGCTTAAAACTCATGCTGGGCACATGTGTGTTTGTGTGAAAAATCCCAAGAGGAGAGTGGAGGAAAGGGGATTGCAGCATGGCCATCCCCCCAGGTGGTGATTTCTCACCTTCTGTCTGTCTATCTCCTTGGTGAGTGCATGCATCCTATGGCAAAAATCTCTCTACCAAAAAAAGAAAAAGCTAGGAAAAGTAAATGGTGCCCCCTGCAGTTGTGCAGTGCACTATTTCTGTAGCTGCAATTCAGAGGTGTACTACAATTCCAGGATTAGTCATTATATGGGCAGCTGGTGGCCATTCTCAGGGATGAGATAGTCCCAGCTGAGAAATTTGCCAAACTATGCAGCATGCTACACGTGGGCTCTCTCTAGACATTCTCCTGGCAGGAAATGCCTGTGCTCTCTGATGAACATTCTATTATTCACTGTTGTCATTTGAAGGGGTTTTCAGCAGGGCCCACCATGTTTACTTTAGGGCTTAGTGTTGTATGTGGAGCTGGGAGTAGAGGGAGGGATAACTTAGAATTGAGCTGAAATGAATCAATTCTTTGGATCCCCTGACTTGATCAGATCTTGGAGAACCTTGAAAGATCCTGGATTTAATTTGGGCCTGTGCAGAGCTCAAATTTGCAATCCTTTACAAGATCAGAGTGGGGACTGATATGGCTGCTCCATTTTTTGCCACTATGGTGGTCCCCAATAGGGCATGAGATAGAGGGACAGAACCATGTACAAGACTCATGGCAAGCAAGCAAGGAGTTGTCTTTGGCGCCCTCTGCCTTCCTTGCCTCTCCTCACCTTGCCTGTCAGAGGTCAAGTTTTCTAGCAACCACTGCTGCAATGTCCCTCCCCACTCTCGCTATCATCTCTTCCACCAGTGCAAGAAATCTGGTCCTTTAAACCTTCCACCTAAAGGAGCAAAGTTGTCTCCTTATTCACCCCTTCCCCTTCCCAACATCTCTTCTGTCCATTGCTACCTTGACTCACAGTTTTATCCTCCTGAACTTTGTTCTGCCAGCACAACTCCTGGCACAGACCTTCAAGAGCTCTCTAGTGCCTGCTAAAGTGGGTGCCAATGACTCATTCATGCCTCCTAGGCCCACAGCAATATGACCATAACTGTCTGGGACCCTAAACACTAATCAAACTAGACTACAACCATGCCTTTTGTCTGCCTCTGGATACACAGATGCACATCAGACACACATCTGCACACGCTGTTCCTGAAAAGCCCACTAATGCCTGTCCCTTTTCATTTACAGACCGGCATATTTTCCAGCTGAGGGCACACATGTACCAAGCCAGGGGCCTCATCGCAGCTGACAGCAATGGACTTTCAGACCCTTTTGCTAAAGTCACGTTCCTTTCTCACTGCCAGACCACAAAGGTAATGGGATGCCAGCCTACCTGCTTCCTGAAGCTTGCAGTCAACTCACAGGGGAGAGAAAACAGGGTCATTTTGCAAAGACCTGCATCTCTGGGTGTGCATGTGCTTCAGACTCAACATGTGCTGAGAAGGACTGATGTTCCACTGTGATCTGTTGTCCTCAGCAAAGGCAGTAGGTTCCCAGGGAAGGTCATGAGGAATGAGAAGTGGAATCTGGCATGCATAGAGCTCCTGCTGACGTGCCAGGCACGACATCCGGCTGAAGTGCCAGGCACGACACCAGGAGCATTGGGAAGGAGACAGAAAATGAAGAAACAGCACAGACAACTGCATGAGGCTTAGATCTAATCATTATGGAGGGGTCTTGGTGGGGAAGAGAGTTTTCTAGTCTTCTGTTCAGAAAGCTCTAGACTTAGCATTTACTAGTTGGAGGGCTTTAACACCTGTATGCTTCAAAATCTCCCTCTTCTGGAAACTATCACTTTGTAATGAATGTGTTGAGCATTAAAAAAGGTGAGTCTTGGGACCAGAAGATGGTGCAATAGTTACGTCTCCCAGGTAGTTGATTGCAGATCAAATCCCAGACCCAGTGGATTAAATTCACTCTAGGTGTGTATGTGCATGCCCAATATCCTGAGAGGAGAATGGAGGAGAAGGGATTGCGGCATGGCCATCCCCCATGGGGGATGATTTTTCACTTTCTGTCTCTCAGTCTCTCTCTGTCTTTCTGGCAAGCACATGGACCCTATAGCAAAAATCTCTTTTAAAAAGATTAAAAAGATAAGTCTGGGGCCAGCAGGTGGTGTAGTGGTTGAGGTGCTGGACTCCCATATGGCTGACTACAGTTCAAGCCCCGAACCTGGTGGCTTGAAAAATCATACCAGGTGTGTGTGCATGCATGCTCAAAGTCCCAGGAAGAGAGTGAAGGAGAGGGGATCATAGTGTGGCCATCCCCCTTGAGGGTTGATTTCTCACTTTCCCTCTCACTGTCTCTTTCTGTCTCTCTCCAGTTAGTGCATAGGCACTACAGTAAAAACCTTTGAAAAAAGAAAAGAAAGGAAGAAGCAAAGAAAAAGAAATGAAGAAAGAGAGAGAGAAAGAGAGAAAGAAAGAAAGAAGGAAGATGGGTCTGTGCTGTTTCCTGTGCTTGCTCCCTCTCTTATACACCCAGTGCTGAAGTGTGGAAAGGATTCCTAATCAACAATAGAATGTGTTTCTCATTAGATTACTTTCTCTAAGGATTTCTTCTCTTTTGTTGTTTGGAGAAAAGGAGACTCAGTAAAGAATTGTCCATCTCAGGAATTAAGATTTCAAGAGTTAGGACATAAAGAGCCCTGAGACTACCTTTCAGCTCATGTACTCTTGAGCTGCATGTCTTTGACAAATAGCACAACTCACTAAACTTTAGGTTTGTCATCTTAAAATAGGGCTTTTGTGAAGAAGCAAAAAAGTTAAATGTATAAAATAATGGATAAACGTTGGCCATTGTATTGGCTGATGTAGAGAGGGCTAACATTTTTCTCCAAGGCAAAGCCCAGATGATCAGTTAGATTGCATTTTGATTTATGACACACAGAGATGGAGAGCATGATGTGAACCAGCATTGTATCCATTTAACTAGTGCCTGTCAGAGTGCTGGCTCTGTGTCAGCTGGGCTCTGGGGAATGTGGGTAGCAGTCTGTTCCAACATAATACGCAACCCAGGTGCAGACCCAGTCCTCCAGACCAATGAGTCAGGCTATGCTGTGATGGGCCCATAGTTCAGGGCTGCACAAATTCCTACAGGAGTCAAGTGGGAGGAGGTTAATTCTGGGAGAGGAGTTGGGAGAGATTGCAGAAGGAATGAGATGACTCCATCCTCATTCAATGACTGAATATGAAAAGAGGATGGCAGCCTAATTTCTCTTTCCTGTCTTTTGAGAGGTAGTACATAGTGCTATGATTATGAATATAGACCCCAGGGCCTCGTTGTGTGGGTCCAAATTCTGGCTTTTCCATTTATTAATTCTGTGACATTAACAAAACCCTCTTTGTGCTTCAATTTCTTCATCTGTGAAATAGGACTGGTAACATTGTACAAACCCAGAGGGTCCAATACCTATGTCAGTACCTTACCAGACCATTGTCAGGATAGCTTGTTATTGTCATTGAGGCTTCCCACCAAAAGCAAGGGGATTCTCAATGGTTGGACCCCTGGAGCCCTTCTCTGCCTACCACAGCTATGGAATTCCAGGCCCTGAGTGGAGTAGGGCATTTGAGCGAGCTCCCTGGGCTGCTATGTCATTATCCTTCCATTTTGTGTTTCCATTCAGTCTGTTCGTTTGATTTATACATAACTGAAAGAAACAGATAGCATTAGTTTATCAAATAATCATTTGAAAAGGAAGGTAGGTTGTATTGTACTTTGGTCTTTGCATCCAAAAGAAACAAGATGAAAAGACACCCCTCAGAATGGGAGAATATATTTGAAAACTACGCCTCAGATAAGGGATTGATAACCAAAACCTACAGGGAACTCAAGCAGCTTGCCTGCAAAAACATAAACAATGAAGTACCTAACTTCTGTTAATAACAATAGCTGTCATTTGTTAAAAGCTCTCCATGTCTACACACTATGCTAAGCATTTTTTAGGCCTTGTTTGCTATCTCTCACTGCAGTCTAAAGGTGGATGTTATCAGCATCCCCAATTTGCAGGTGAGGAAGGTAAGGCTCAGAGACTTTACAGCTAAGGACAGTGAAGCCAAGATGGAAACCTAGGTTGTTCCATTGCCAAAGTCACTTTGCTTACCATTCCACTTCCATGTTAAGAAAGATTTCTAGGAACCAGCAGATGGCATAATGGTTACGTCGCTGGACTCTCACATAGTCGACCACAGTTCAAGTCTCAGACCCAGCGGCTTAAAACTCATGCCAGATGCCGTGCGTGTGTGCCCAAGAGCCTGAGAGGAGAATGGAAGAGAAGGGACTGCAGTGTGACCATCCTCCTGGGGAGTGATATCTCGCTTTCTGTCTCTCTCTTTCTCTGGCAAGCACACATGCCGTATAGCAAAAAAAAAAAAAAAAAAAAAAAAATAATTTATTTTCCTCTCCTGTTTAAATGTTTGAAAAAAAAAAAAAAAAAAAAAATTTCTAATTTCCCTCTCCTGTTTCAATGTTTGCTGCCTTGGAGGGACTGCTCCGTGGTGACATGCTGCACCTTTGCACTCCTCATGGGGAGAGCTGAGTCTGAGGCTCTGCAGTAATACCTGGGTATCATTGCTCACCTGGTAGCACTGACCAACCACGTGGTACTCAGGGAGAACAGTCCTCTAAAGGACTAATGCTGCAAACCAGTGCTTTATAATGTGACCTAATGGTATGAAATATTTCAGTGTGGAATCCAGTTATTCTGTCACTAAGACATGAGACTTAGAAATCTTGTGACTGAATAATAAAGGAAAAGTGAGAAGGTCAGTCCCTAGCATCTAGTAGTTAAAGGAGCTGGATCCCACATGATTGACTGTCGTTCAAGTCCCAGCCCCAACAGTTTGAAAAACACAATTGACGTGTGTGTGTGTGTGTGCGTGCGCGCGTGCACGTGTGTATATGTGTGTGTGTGCACGCCCAAATCCCAGCAGGATGGAGAAATGGAGGAGAAAGGATTGCAGTATGACTGTGGCCTACTGAGAGTGATCCCCCCACTTTGTCTTTCTCTCTCTGGCAAGTACATGTACTCTTTGACAATTTTTAAAAAGTGGAAAAAGAGAGAAAGCTCATGCAGAGAAAGGCTTTGGGGATAGAAGAAGTGACAGACCAAGTGGCTAAGAGGGAGCATCAGAGGAGAGGAGGTACTAGAAGGTCAGGCACATGGAGCTGAGCTTACACAGGATCAGATGGATGCTTAGTCCTAAGGGCATGGATGGTCTTTGATTAGACTCCATTACCACTGTGCACTAAGGCTGGCACGTGGCAAGTGTTTAGTAACCGTTTCCTCATTTGTACATGAGTGTGCGCAGAGAGGGAGTAAGGTGAGTAAGAAACACTTATTGAGCACCTACTGTGTGCTAAGAACTTAATATTGTACTTTCAGACAATAGTTATAACAATTTCACTAAATTGGCGCCAACCCTAATTAAGTGAGAGAAACTAAGGTTTGAAGAGGTTGAATCATATACAGAAGCTGGACATGGTGTAAGTAATGAACTAGAATTTCATTCCAGGGTTATCTATTTTTTTTTTTTAAGAGCGATTTTTGCTATGGGGCGTGTGCATTTGCCAGAGAGACAGAAAGCAAGAAACCAACTCCCAGGGATATGGCCATGTCATAATCTCTTTTCCTCTATTCTCTTCTCAGGATTTTGGGCACACACACACACATGCGCCTGGTGTGAGTTTCAAGCTGCCAAGTCTGAGACTTGAACTGTGGTCAACCATGTGGGAGTCCAGCGCCTTACCCATTATGCCACCTGTGAGCTTCTAGGGTTATCTAATTCTAAAGTTCTACTTTATTCACCTTATCTCTGTCCCTTTTCAAAGTGTTAGTTAAATGTTACCATACCTCCCACATAATGCCATTTTATCCAGTTAAGAAATGAAGCTAACCATGAGTACCTTGGCAGAAAAGTAGGAGAATACATTTTGTTTGGGTAAAACCTTCTCAGCATCTTTAAAGGTTACTATGTGGTCCTTTAATACATGGGAGTCACTCTAAGGACAGGTTAACATCCACTTATTGATTCACACAAATAGATGTGGAGCACCTACATGCACGGGCTGCTGTGTTAGCACCCAGTACTGTGCCTGGCACACTGTAAGTCCTGAACAAATCTATTAGTATGAGGGGGTTTCCAAAAAGCTCATGGAGATGCATATTACCAAAAGAACTATGCATGGATTTCAGTATTTTTGTGGCAAAATTAACTCATACATTAACTCCATTTTCCATGAATTTGTCTAAATCCCCACATACGATGAATGAATGAATGCTAGCTTCTGGAATCTTATTAAGTGGCATTTATAGCCCAGAACCAAGAAAGATATCAAAATATTTCTGCAGGAAAGATACTGTGATGATTATACATTGCTTTGGTATCATGCTGTCAGTGCATGCTGCAAAAGAGATTACATTTCTGTTTTCAAAAGCAACTTAAAAACATATGGTTCTGGGAATAGCGGGTGGTGTGGTGGTTAAGGAGCTAGACTCACACATGGCCGACCGCAGTTTGAATCCTGGAACGGACAAGTTGCTTTCTGACTTTCCCTGTCTCTGTCTCTCTCTGGTCAAATTAAAAAATAATAGTAATAAATAAAATTAAATAAATAATTTCGTTTTTTTAAAGAAAAACATGGTTCTTTGTGATGTCAGTTCCTGACACTAGGTAACTTTGTACTGCAACTCCATAATTCCTATGTATTAATTGGTTGGAGCCATTTTTTTTTCCTGTAGGAAAGTTAGATTGTCCCTGAAATGTTATGTTTAAAACCTGTTATATCTGAGCCATAAAATAATCTAAAAATTTTTTAAAAAGAAGAAAAAGAGGGGAAGAAAATTGTGGAAATGCACGATAGTTGTATCACTCACATAAAGAAAAGCAATAAAAATATTCTCTCTTGACCACAGTACAAATTACTTAATGTCGTGGCTAGAGATGAGCTGATGTTTATCTCTGAGGTGACAGTTTTATGTGAGGTTTGGAGTCTCAGAAGTTAATCCAGGCCAACTCTCTCTCCCACTGGTGCTGGAGTAAGCAGTGACAAGGAGAACGCAGTTCAGAGGTGCTGAGGAAATTTCCCTAGGACCCAGGGGCTGCTGCATTATCTTTACCTGTGAATTCACACCCTTGCCTGGACGAGAGAGAGATGTGACTGTGGTCTCCTTCCAGGGCTGACCTCACTTGCCAGCAGGACAGCTTCTGCCCGGAGGTGGAGTCCACCCATGTTTCAAACAGCTCTAACCTTTAGCCCTGTGAAAATGGCATGTTTCCAATTTCTAATCAAATAGAGTAGGGGAAATAAGTCTAAGAAAGTCCCCCCTTTCTCCCAGCACCACTTCCATGGCCTGGCAAGGAGCTGAGAGCCATGTGCCATTACAACAAACCCCATGGAAAAAGGATGTCATGCAAAATGGTGAGGGTTGTTTTGAAGACCCCAGCCTGTTCAAAGCAGTCAATAAATATCCACAGAACAGTAGAAGTCCAGTGAGGACCATCAGATTTTAGACCCAACTTGAAGGTATTTCAAGACAAAGTTTCATTGTGCATAAGTGAAGAATCACTAGATTTTTCCCTTCCTCTGTTTTTCCATCCATAACATGGAATTGCTATGAGCATCTGCTTGGTGAAGGTAGATGAAGTTAGCAGCCTGGGCTGTGGTGCCAGATGATTCTAGTTCTGCTGCACATGGGCTCTGGACAAGTGAACCTCATTTTCTTGCTCAGAATTACTGTGAGGTTTGAATGAGAAAGTGAGTGTGTTCGCTGGCTGCAGTAGCCAGCACGCATGAAGTGCTCAGTAAAGGGTAGAGCGATCATTGCGGCACTATCATGAAGTAAGTTGAAAGGGCGTGTATAGATAGGGTTGGACGTTGTAGGGGCTCATGAAACTCATTATGCTCCGTCAGGGCAGGGAATCTGCAGTCCCCAGTGCTTTGTACACGGTAGCTGCTTGGCTTACAGAACCGTCTGAATGTTGAATGAATAAGCAATGTGGCAGTGAGAGGTCCTCTCGGCCTCCCTGTCTGCTGAATGAACCTCACAGCCCCCCAGAGCCCAGTTGAATGATTCTTTTGTCCTTCCTTCCAGATCATCTCTCAGACTCTCTCCCCCACCTGGAACCAGATGCTGCTGTTCAATGAACTGGCACTGCATGGGGATGAGAAGGAGCTGGTGGAGTCCCCACCCTTAGTGGTGGTGGAGCTCTATGACAGTGACGCGGTGGTAAGTGTCCTTCTCGGGCAGTGTTGACTGTGTCTCTTTAAAAATGCTGCACCAAGAGAACAACAGATGGCATAGTAGTTAAATTGCTGGACTCCCACATGGCCAACTGGGGTTCAAGTCCTGGACCCAGATGTATGTACCCAAAGTCCCAAGAGGAGAATGGAGGAGAAGGGATTATGAAATGGCCTTCCCCCCTGGGGGGTGATTTCTCACTTTCTGTCTCTCTAGCAAGTGCACATGCCCTATAGCAAAAATCTCTCTCTCTCAAAAAAATAGCTACATTGAAATAACTTACTCTGTTTTAAAGTACATAATGTCCTGACACTATGAGTATTCAAGACCCTAGAAGTGCTTAGAGATAAACCTGACCTCAGAAAGCAACATACAGCACCAGGAAAACTGATGATGACCACTGGCTCTCCAAAAGGGCTCTTCAAGTAGATGTTTCTTTAAATTGCAATTAAATTGGATCTAGTTTCCAAAACTTCAATTGGACACACACTTTCTCGGGAATGTGACACTTGTATAAAGCAATTTGCAGCTCTTTCCAGACCCCAGCTAGTTCTTTGTTATTGGTATTTAATCAAAATGTCCACACCTTTTGAAATTAGGAGGTTTGTACTGATCTTGCTGGCTGGAAGGAGATGGTTGGGTATTGTCATCAACTTGGCCTCTGAAGTGGGTTAGGGTTAAGATTTGTGTTCTTAAACACAAACGTAAGATTCAGAAGCTTACTGGAGGATTTTTTTAAAAACTTACTAAGACAAGTATTTTTCTGCTTTTAAAAATTCAGCCAAAAACAAAAGGCAAGGGTTCATTTGATTTGATTTGTTGCCTCTACCTCCTTGCAGAAGCGCAAATATATTAGGTACACAATTGTTTCAAGAAGCCTTCCTGAAGTTTCTTCATCTCCTCAGTGCAATCTTGACAGCCCCCTGGCCTTAGGCCAAGGTTAGGAGGGAATTAGAGTGAGAATCATAGAAGGGGTGCAGAGACTTCGGAAGGCCTGAGCCCCACTCTTGCTTCCACGAGGATGAGTCATATAGAGAAAGGTCAAATGCCTTCTTCAAGGTCCCAGCGAGCTGAAGGCAGAGCTAGAACTTAAACCCAGGCCTCCTATGCCCACTCGTTCCTGCACTTGTTGTGGCTAGCATGGCAACCTCCTCTATACCACATGTTCTGGTTCGCTATATCACTTCCACCCTGAATCCCATTCCCCCATTTGTAAATCGGAGCCGAATGTATATATTATGCAGGATGATTTCTGCCACTCAGCATGTATCAAAAGCATAGATTTTCTGTGGAACAGCTACAAAATAAATACCATTCAACTTTGTCCCTAAGAACTGCTTTCAATCCTAAGTATTTATTTCCTATTTGAAAAGCAGCAATGAGAGTCAGGCATCTTTGCAAGTTCCCGCTACACCAGTCCTCTGGGCTGGTATATTTCACTTTGCCGCTCTTTGCTTTCTAGACCTCTCCTCACTGATGGCTTTTCCTGGACTACCCTAAACCAAGTTCTTAACAGAAAAATCAATCTTATGCTTTCTAATCTAAAGGGGGAAAGGGAAAGGTGGGAGAAAAAGAAATAAAGGAGAACGAAAAAGAAAAGAACGAGAAAGAGAAAGAAAGCAAGCAAGAAGGAGGAAGAAAGGGAGAACAGAAAGAGAAGAGAAAGGAGAAAAGGAAAGGAAAGGAAAGGAAAGGAAAGGAAAGGAAAGGAAAGGAAAGGAAAGGGATTTGCATTTTCCTCCTGAAGAAATATGGGTAGACAGATATGCAAAAGATTTTGTTCTCACTTGCAAGCTACAGCTAGAGGGGCCCCAGGTAAATGATGACAGAATTGTTAGTATCTGATTCTGCTTGATATGGGCTTCCAGCCTCTAGCTTTTCTCCCTTCCTAGTGACTTGTACCCTCCGAAGAGTCTGCTGGTCCTGCAAGAAATGAGTCTCTATTTGGCAAATTGGTTGCTTGGGTTTATGTTTACTCCTTTGTTCCCAGGGCTAATTTGAATGAACTATTCCCAGCTGGGATAATGAACAAAGTAATTGTCAGGCTGTTCATTCATTGTATATCCAGCTGCTGGAATTCCATCCATGCTCAGAATAGGTCTGACCCTGGCAGTGGATCCCAGCAGGAAGCTTTGTTTTCACGTGGCTAAACTAAAGCCCCCCCATTTCCACCTCAACCAACCCTCCTTCATTAGCTGGGGATACAAATGCTGATTCAGGAGTTAAAAGGTAATGAGGCAGTGTGGTTGCTAAAACTCAGCCTCAGCCAGAAGTGAATGTGGGCATTGTCCTTGAATTGTGGAGGTCATTTATGCAGCAGCTTTCACTCTACAAACATGTATGCACTGAATCCTGCCCTGTTCTAATCCCATTTACAGTAGTGAAAAAATGGGGCAGCTCGGCCTGCATGGAGCATCCATTCCAGAAGGTCTCAAGACAAATCTCAAAGCAAAGTGACTACCCCAGCCCCACACCACCCCTGGGGAAAAGTGGCTCAGATGTCTAAGGGCAGGCTTGGCAAAGATGAGGTAGAGCCATCAAGTATTTCTTAGAGAAATATATATAATGACATGCACACACATGCACCTGGTATGTTTCTGAAACGGCCGGGTTCAAGACTTGAACAGTGCAGTTGGCCATGTGGGATCCAGCTGCCCTAGCCACCATGCCATCAGCTGGCCCCAAAGATATCTTAATATTCTCTTTTAATACCAAGGAACATACAGCATAACTTCCCTACCACTTTAAACATACTGACCTTAATCATCATCATTATCATCACCATCATAATCATATTACCTTGAATTGGACACTTACTCTGTACCAGTCATTGTGCAAAGCATATGCATATCATTAATCCTCGTGATCCTATGAACAGGGATAGTTTTTAACTCCCTTTTAGACACGAAGCTCAAGAAGCTTCAGTAGCTGGCCTGAGATCATAGTTAGAAAGTGGCAGATATGAGAACTCAGTCTCAGTTTACCTGGCCCTGAGGCTCATCCTCCCAACTGCAATGTTGTCCTGCCCTGGAGACCTTTTGGAACGTTTTCTGCCACCTTTTCTTTTTCCCCTACCAGTCTATCCTAAATGACTATTTTGACTTTATTCCACTGAGATCAGTATGTGAGGCGTGAAATAACCCCTAAGACAAGCTTGGACTGAGAAACCTTCAATCCTCTTAGAGCTTTCCCTGGGAGCCTGAGCAGGCCTTTCTGCTCCCACGAGCCTTGGAAATGAACAAAAAGATGCTTGGCAGGAGAAGAGAGCAAGATAGTAAGCAAGAGGCAGACTCGTACTGATGGTTGGGTAAAGATTTTTTGCACAATTGCCCCGATACAGGACAGAACCTGGTAAGTAGCCATCAGGTGACAAAAATTCATTTCTTTCCTGCCTTAGGGGAAGCCAGAATATTTGGGTGCCACAGTGGCTGCTCCTGTTGTGAAGCTGGCAGACCAGGACTATGAGCCCCCCAGGCTGTGCTATCACCCCATCTTTTGTGGGAGCCTCTCTGGAGGGGATCTCCTTGCTGTATTTGAACTGCTACAGGTAAGCGAACCAGAAATGGCATCTGCACTAGATGTTCTACCTGGTCTACCTGGCCAGAGAAGTGACCTCACTAGAGGTGCCGCTTTGATGAAGCCGTATCTGGGCCCTCCCTGTTACCTCGTGCCTGGAGGTGTCTCCTTCAGGTGAGAAGAACTCGGGTGAAATGGACCTGCACTACAAGCCAGAGTCCTATGATGAAAATCCTAATGAGTTTGGTCAACAATGCTTAAGCAGCTCTATGTGTGAGTCCTGAGCTGTACACAGACTGTGAAAGATATGAAAAAGGAAGAGCACAACATTTGTGGAGCTTTTACTCTGTGCTCAGTGTTAATTCTGCTGTCTCACATGCCATTCTTCATAGTAGTCCTCCCTCAGTCCTGCTGAGATGGATGCATTTTGTGGAGAAACTGGAAGGCAAACATTCCAGACACAGAGAGCGAGAGTGAAGTTTTTAGAGATGGATCCCATTGTACAGATCTTAGTTTCACCACTTATTAGTGTGTGACCTTGTGTAAGCTACTTAGTTTTCATTTCACCTGAAAAATGGGATGATATCCAATCTACCTAAAGTCCCTAGCATAGAATAAACACTCAACAAATGCTGTTGGGTTGTCAGTCATGTCATATTGCTTCTTGTTTTTCTATGCAAAAAATGCATCATGACTTTTCCGACAACCCAATAGATATTTATTATTGTAAGTATTATTATGCCATAGGTTATTAAAGCAAGATGTCTATTCTCACTGTTTTAGGTGAATTAAGCAATAGGGAAAAGTAATAACTTGCTCAATACGGCAAGTCAGACCCTAGAATCCAGGTAGGCAGATTCCCATCAGACTGGAGAGGCTGGGGGGTGGGGGGGGCACAATGAGGAAAGAAGCACCTGTGGGGTTAATATGCTTGTATTCAGATCCAGCCTCTACCCAGGTCTGCAGCCTGGGAGTTGCACGTGGCTGTATTGATGAGTCCTTAAGCTCATCATATCAAAGACTTTAATGTGGTCTGGGTTTCGTTCCATTTAAAGAAGAACTTTTCAAGGATGCGATGGCTGCCTTGGAGGAAGAACAAGCCCTCTTCTTTGGGGGGAACTGAAGCTGGGTGAGCTCTTGGAGCCATGGAGTAGCAGAAATTCACACGCTGGCTTTAGTACCATAATGGTTGCAGCCTAGGAGGTTAAGAGTACAAAAATCTTTGTCATATGAGTCTTAAAATCAAATGAGAGTCTAAGAGAACTAGTTCTAGCCAAATAGATATGTATTGCACAGAAACATGGACTGTCAGAACTGAATGCAGCCTTCAAAACCAGCCTTTCCTCAAGTGAGGGCCCGGGTGATTTTAGGCTGGCAATGAGTGGTTTGGGGGCAGAATTAGCATTAAATAATGTTGAGTTGATGTGAGGAGAATTTTGTCCTTTTTAATCCTTCTAACCACTTCTAAATGAAAGTCTAGTTTGATGTTCACCTGTCTACAATACCTCTCTCAACTTGCTACCTCCCTTCTTAAGAGGCATCATGCTTTAAGCTCAATGACACTGAGTGGAAAAGATCAATGATACCTGCAGGCATATTTCCCAAAGTCGGCTGCTAAGAGCACCATGTACCTCCAAGGAAATTTAAAAAATGCTTCATAGCACATTCCAATAACATTGCTATTTTAAAATTATTTCTTAAAGAATTATTTGTTTAATTTTATTTATTATTATTTTTTAAAAATTTGCTATAGGGCATTCATCCTCACCAGAGAAAGACAGAGAGAGAGAGAGAGAGAGAGAGAGAGAGAGAGAGAGAGAGAAAGCAAAAGCAAGTCACCAGGTCTGGGACTAGTACTGCAGTCAGCTCTGTGGGAGACCAGCACCTCAACCACCGCGCCACCTACTGGCACCAGTTTTCTTTTTAAAGTTACTTTCCATTTATGATAAATGGTACTTCTTTTACCCAACAACCTGAAGTTTCCTTTTTTAATGTTTATTTATTCCATGAGCAAGGGGGACAGAAAGATTGAGGCAGTACCCCCATCAGGGTCTCAATGCTGCAATCTATCTGTAGCTTCAGTCTATCCCAGAGAAGGGGTACACACAGCATACTCAGGGAGGTCTCCACATGCAAGCCAAGAACCTTTCCACATGGGTCAGCCTTGCAGAACATTGAGTGTAACTGCTGTACAATCATTGTGAAGTTTCCTTTCTATAGTTACCTTTGTGTAACTGTGTCTAATAAAAATGTTTACTGAATTTACAATGGTGAAGGTGGTAGAGAGTGGACGACTTGGGAAAACGGGAACTAACCCAGCACTCCCATTTGACAAGTGAGGAAGCTGTGCTCAAGGTCAGCCAAACTGGAGTCATTGGGTGCTCTCTTCACTGCACAAAATTGCCTTAATATGTGTGCTCTTTCTTTTTTTACTTTTTAAGAGAGAGTTATTTTCCTATAGGAGACACAGAGAGAGAGAAAGTGAGAAATCACCCCTTAGGGGGGATGGTCATGCCACAGTCTCTTTTCCTCTGTTCTCCTCTCAGGACTTCAGACATGCACACACACACACCCAGCATGAGTTTCAAGCTACCAGGTCTGGGACTCAAACCATGATCAGCCATGTGAGAGTCCAGTGACTTAACCACTTCACCACCTGCTTGTCCCAGTGTGCTGTTTCTCTGAGCCTCTCTTCTGTCAATAAGAGACTTAACCAGGTGATCCCTTTGAGTGTGGGGTCCCGGAGTTCCACAGTCCCAGCTTTTATCCCCCCTTCCTGAGCATTGAGCTGAGTGCCCTGGTGAGAAATCCTGCTGCTTCCTGACAGCAGGCTTAATAGAAGCAGGATTATCAGAGGTAAGCAGCCTAAGAGATGCATTTCAATTAGGGCTTCATTAGGATGTCTTCTCATTTGATCGCTTGTTCTAAAAGCAATTTGATCATCAGTGTGACTGTCTTAGAATGAGGGTCTCATACATACTGAGAAGTCAGGGGCTGGAAAATGCCTTCGCTTGTCACCAGCTGCTCGGTTTTCGTCTACGGATGGCTTGCTTCAGCTTCTGCAGCTCCATCACTAACACCCTCCCCTGTCTCGGAAGGATTTAGTCCCTTGGTTTGTCTATGCATCACACTGAATCCACTATTTCCTTCTCCCTCCCTGGTACTATTTAGATGATCCCAGTCCTCCCAATTCTAACTCCTAGCCGGCTCTGGCTTAAAGATGCAGTCAGCCATAATTCTTCACACTGTTGTAACAAGTTACCACAAACATGGTGGCTTAAGGTGACACATATTTTCTCTTTCTTTCTTTCTTTTTTTTTTTTTTTTTGAGTGGGGGGAGGTTTTTGCTACAGGGTGTGTTCGCTCACCAGAAAGACCGAGAGAGACAGAGATACAGAAAGTGAAAAATCACCCCCCAGGGGGGATGGCCACACTGCAGTCATTCTCATCTTGGAATCTCAGGCACACATACACATGCACTGGTGTGATTTTAAGCCACCGGGTCCAGGACTTGAACTGGGTCAATTACATGGGAGTCCAGCGACATAGCCATTATGCTAACTGCTGGTCCCTGAAGGTGACATGTATTTGGTCCATCCTGGTGACAAAGTTGGTAGCAAAGCAAACTGCAGTTCTAGAAGCCATGTGGCTCATTGGAGGGTTTTGATCCCTGGTCAATCTGAAAACACACTGGGCTCATGTGCTCAGGATCCTGATGAGCTGGAGGGCTGGGGGATTGCAGCATGATGAGACCCTGTCAAGAGTGCTTCTCTCTCCCTCTCTCCTCTAGTTCTGTTATCATATCTCCTCCGTCTCTGGGTCTCCTGCCTCCCTCTTTAAAGTACCCTTGTGATTACATTGAGCCTACCTAGATAATCCAAGTTAAAACTACCCATTTCAGGAACACCAGATGGCATAATGGTTATGTTGCTGAACTCCCGTGTAGTCACTGTGATTTGAGACCTAGACTTGGAGGCTTAAAATTCATGCCAGGCAGGTGTGCAAGTGTGCCCAAAATCCTGAGAGGAGAACGAGAGAGAAGGGATTGCAGTGTGCTATGCCCCCTGGGGGGGTGATGTCTCACTTTCTGTCTCTCTGTCTCTCTGATGAGCACACATACCCTATAGCAAAAATCTCTCAAAACAAAAAAACAAAATACTACCCATTTCAAGATCCTTCATTTAATCCCATCTTTCGAAATCTTTTTTCCATGTAAGGTAATATCAATATATTCCTAGGCTCTGGGAATTACGATGTAGACATCTTGTTCAGGGAGCGATTATTCTGCCTACAACAATTCTCAACTACTAGAAGTGTTTCCTTGGCCTTTCTACAGGGTTAGTGCACTACCCTCCCAGAGGGTAGTCTATGTGATGGGCGCCCCCTGCAGTTGTGCAGTGGACAATCGTGGATTTATGTGGCAACACTGTCTTAGAATCCATCCTCATTCAACTTTCTATTAGTAGAATCTTTCCCTTACTATCATGCAAGCTTTATCTATTTTTTAAATAAAATTTTAATCTTCTTTGTCTCTATGGTGTGACACTCAATCATTTCATAAGAAGCTTGAATTAGGGATCTGTATTTTGTAGCGCTTTGAAACTGTGATTTGATACTTTTAATTAGTTTTAGAAAATCATCAATCATTATTTATCAACTATTACCTCTATCTAATTATATATCTCCTCTCTGTCTCACCTCTTTCCTCTTTACCTGTTACTCTAATTACATGAGTTAGACCTTCTAATTACATATTCTATGCCTCTCATGTTATTTTAGGTATTTTCTATTCTTTTATCTCTCTGAGTTTTATTCTATCGTTAATAGTGGCCTATCTCTAGGTTATTTCATCTGCCTTTATCTACACCTAATCTTTTTTTCAAACCAACTTACCAAGTTCTTCTTTCCAGTGACTATATTTATAGTCTTAGAATTTTCACTTTTCTTTTTTATTATGGGTTTCAATTCCCTATCAAAATCTTTTTCTAAAGAATCATTTCATTTTATTTATTTATTTTTTTTTTTTTTGAACTTACTATGTAGCACATTTACTCACCAGAGAGAGACAGAAAAAGAGAAAGTAAGCTACCAGGTCTGGGACTTGAACCATAGTCAGGCAAGTGGGAGTCCAGAGCCTTAAGCATCATGTCACCTGCTGCCCCCCCCATCAAAAGCTAATTTTGTCTCTTAGTGTACAGAGTAAGCATCAGTAAAATTCATATCTGATTACATTATCTGAGTTTTCTGTAGGCCTGTTGTTTTTGGTTGCTGTTTCTCTTGATTTTTACTCACATCATCTTATCTCCTGGAATGAAGAGTTTTATTTTATTGTATAATAGATATGTTATCAGATATAGGTAGAGAAAACTCGAGCCTAGGCTGAAAGTGTTTTCCTCCAGAGGATTTGACTTTATTTCTGAGGTAGTTTGACACCGCTAGCAATCCTAGATCATCTGAGTCCCATTGAATATTAGAATGACTTGAGGTTGAGCCTTATTCTTTGCAAGGAGCAATAAATATCCCAGTTGACCCTTATTCACAGGGAACTCCCTGTGTGCTAGAAAGTGTGCCAAGTGCTTTACGTGGTGTCTCAGCACTTCTTCACAGCAACTCTGCGAACTAAATATTATCTTCATTTTATAAATGACATAACTGAAACTCAGAAACACTGAGTTGCTTTTCTAAGTTCACATAGCTAGTACGAGATAGAGTCCAAGACTTGTACCTAGCCACTGAACTGAATGTGAGCTACAATAGAAGTGCAGATGACAGACTGAGGGAGGCAGGGAAAGGAGAAAGCCTTCTGAGTATACTGATTTTTCAGATGGGCAGGGCTGGGACTCAGGTCCCACATGAGTACCACCCTAGGTGCCTCACCTTTGTCCTGCCCCTGCAGTTGGGTCTGAGAGTCTGATATTTATCTCCACTGGGATATTAGAGCAGCCTGCCTTTGGGACCAACTCATCATGCTCACTCCAATTCTTACTATTTTACTGACATAACAATCTCTTCTTTTTCCCTGGTCCCATGTGTTGAGTAACTATATATCGGCACTGGACCTATTTCACTGTGAAAAAACTTAATCTTAACTGACAGACAGTAAGTAGTTCAATCTCTACCATATTGTGGGATCCATCAAGCACTGTGCTGAACTCTTTTTTTGTTTTTGTTTTTGTTTTTTTTTTTTGGCTAGAGGGACTGTGTACTTGCCAGAGAGAGACAAAGAGACTGAGAGAGAGAGAGAGGGAAAGAAAAAGGCATCTTCCCCACCCCCACCCTGGGAAATGGTCATGTTGCAGTCCCTTCTCCTCCATCTCTCCCTTCTTTCTGATTTTGGGCACACAGGCACATGCACCTGGCATATTTCTCAAGACACTGGGTCTAGGATGCCGGACCATGTGGAATCTGGCTGCCTTAATCATAAGACCATGGAGCCATTCCTCCTGTGTTGAACTCTTAAGAGGATCTATCAGGGACGGGAGCAAAGCTTCTTTGAGGCATTTTCCATGCCCATAGCCAGGATAAGGTAGCATGTACTGCTTTGAAAAGGCACATCCAGAGGCGGCCTCGCCTATGCCTTCTTCACAGCTGTTTTGTGACTTATCCCAATGAGGTGAGATTTGAGGCTAGGTTGCTCATCTCTTTACTGCCAGGCAGTATTGGATCTTCATCCTCATCATTTACCAGCTTCTTTATGTGGTCTGGTTCGTCCTGCAGCTTCATTATCTTAAGCCTGCTTGGCATTTGAAATGCCTGCTTTCTTGCACGTGTGCTCGCTCGCTCTCTCTCTCTCTCTCTCACTCTGTCTCTGAGTTTTTTTTTTTTTTTTTATAATTAACTTAGCCACATCTGCTGTTGCCAGTTAGAAAATGTCTGTGAAAAAGGAATTGTGATATGTTTGCACTGTACAGGTTTTTGATGAGCAATTAGGCCTTTCTAGCATATGGAACAAATATGTCAGACAGCCAGTAAACATTTATCAAGAACTCACTCTATGTGGAGCAGCACTTGAGGGGCTTGGAGAATGAGATGAAATCAATAAAGACTTCCTCTTGGCCAAGTTCTGGTAAATTGTTCAGGCAGACACATAGCCCCAGTGAGGAGGAACACCTGCTCCAAAGCAATGTTCCATAGAACATCTGATCCCTGAAGGGTCATCTGATCTACTATCTGAGGCTCAGAGAAGGGAAAGTGACTGAGGAGGGTCACACAGGAGAGCCTGCTTTCTGGACTCAGTCCTCTCATTTTTACACTAAGCCTCTATAGAAGATAGACTGAATTCAGAGGACATAAGGATCAGAGAGTGGCCACGGTAACTGGGATCAAATGAGGGAAAGCTTCTTAAAAGATATTCCCATTGAGCTGGGACCTGAAGACACTTCAAGATGGCCTATCCTATGAGAAAGATTCTTTCCTTAGTAGAATTTCTTAAGCCCTTTCTGTGACATTTCAACAAAACACAAAGATTGTTTCTCCTAATGAGTTTCATTAACCTCAAGTGCACAAGAGGTGACGTTCATCCCCGTGTTCTGCCTTTAAAAGACTTCATTTTCTGTCCCACTGATTAAGATATAGTCTCTATTTGATGAAACGGAATTTCTTTTTGTAATACGTATTATGGCTTTTCTGAAGATCTTGACAAACTGGAAAGGGGGGTTAGTTAAGACAATAGTTTAGGGACCAGCAGTTAGCGTAATGGTTATGTTGCTGGACTCCCACATAGTCAACCACAGTTCGCGTCCCAGACCCGGTGACTTAAAACTCACACCATGCATGTGTGCGTGCGTGCCAAAGATCCGGAGAGGAGAATGGAGGAGAAGGGATTGCGGTGTGACCATCCCCCCTGGGGGGTGATTTCTTGCTTTCTGTCTCTATGTCTCTCTCTGTCTGGCAAGTGCATGCGCCCTATAGCAAAAACCTCTCCAAAAAAAAACCTCTTTCTCCACCATACTGTAATAGCTCTTGTGTAATTTAATCAAGTGTGTGGATCGATCTACTTGTCTTATTTTCTCTGTTCTCAGTGAGCTTATTATGAGCTTACTAAAAGTCATGCCTTATCAAACTCATGCACATCAGAAATTCTCACTAAATATTAGTGACCCATGTAAATTACAGCATTTAACAACTAAGAAAAATCAAATGTGGTAAAGTGCATAGTCGTGTTGCATTTTTTTTTTTTGAGAGGTTTTCGCTAGAGGGCGCGTGCGCTGGCGACACAGACAGAGAGAGATATAGAGGACTGGAAATTTCCACTCCCGCCTGAATACCTGAAAAGGGCCTTTACTTTTTTTTAATCTGTCATTTAATAGACGAATCTGTGAGTGTTTGACCAGGCTCAGTTGTGGCCTCTTTTGGAACCAAAGAAAAAGGAATGAGAGTTTTTTTTTTTTTTAACTCATTATCATTAGAAATATTTCTTTAGAATTGGAATTTTTTTTTTTTGAGAGATTTTCACTGTAGGGCGCGTGCGCTCGCCAGACAGACAGAGAGAGACATAGAGACAGAAAGCGAGAAATCACCCCCCAGGGGGGATGGTCACACCGCAATCCCTTCTCCTCCATTCTCCTCTCGGGATCTTGGGCACGCACGCACACGCGCCTGGCGTGAGTTTTAAGCCATCGGGTCCGGGACGCAAACCGCGGTTGACTACGTGAGAGTCCAGCAACATAGCCATTACGCTAACTGCTGGTTCCCTCATATTGCATTTTTAAGCTGGAAATGTAACTTTTGTTGGCAGAACAGTGAACATCTTATTGATGAGGTGACTGTGTGGCACTGTCAGTCTTCCTCGCTTCTCTGCAACCTTCTAATCAGCACCTGTTTTGTGTGGTAGGTCCCTTCATCTGGGCTGCAAGGCCTCCCTCCCATTGACCCACCAGACATCACCCAGATCTATCCAGTTCCTGCCAACATTCGGCCAGTGCTGAGTAAATACCGAGTGGAGGTATGATTCAGGGGAAGACCAGAATTGTCTTTTGGTACTAAAGAGCTGTACCCCTGCCTGAGTGGTTGGAGGGGTGTTGTGGGGTGGGCAGGGGACCTAAACAAAAACCCCATCCAGCTTGTGCTTGCCCAGAGGGAGCCCTCAGAAACTGCACCATTATTTTCTGGAAGAACATATCATGATTCTCAGGCCACACGTCTGATGCTTCCACACCATAGCAGGGCACACATAGGCTCCTTCTTGCATGGTGGGTGATAGCTCTGTGGTCCTCTCTTCAGGTTCTATTCTGGGGAGTCCGGGAAATGAAGAAGGTGCAGCTCCTCTCAGTGGATCGACCACAGGTTCTCATCGAGTGTGGGGGACGAGGAGTGAAGTCTTGTGTGATCCAGAGCTACAAGAACAACCCAAACTTCACCGTCCAAGCAGATGTCTTTGAAGTGGTGCGAGCCCATCATTCCATAATCCCTCTATTCACTTCCTGTCCTCAGATGGGACCCACTTATTATTATTATTGTTATTAATTATTATTATCTTGGTTGGCTATAGGATGTGTGCACTCTCTGAAGACAGAGACACAGAGAGAGAGAGGAAGAAAGTGAGAAAGCACCCCTCCCCCAGGGGGATAACTACACCACAATACCTTCTCCTTCATCCTCCTCTCTGGATTTTGAGCATGCATATACATACACCCAGTGTGTTTTTCAAGCTACCAGGTCCAAGACTTGAATTATGCAGCTGGTCATGCGGAATCCTCCATGCCATCTGCTGCTTCAACTTCTACGCCGTCTGCTGACCCCAGCACATGCTTTCCTAACTTGGAATGGAGAGATGTTCTGGAGTTTTCAACGTTCACCCCCTGCAAGAAAGAACAGTCTAATTTAGTAAAAAGCCAGACCTTCAGAATGAGATAAAGTAGACATCTACTGTTTGCTTTTCTGCTTGCGAGGATAGATTATACACTAAATTAAAGCAGGTTGACAAACTCTTGCCTAGAATAGTAGCTTCTGAAGTATGGCCACCAATTCATCAGCATCAACATTGAGAACTTGTTAGTAATTCACATTCTCAAGCTCCACCCATGTACTACTGAATCATAAACTTCTGGGGACAGGGCCCAATGGCCTTGATTCAACAAACCCTCCAGGTCATTTTGATACACACCAAGGTTTGAGAACCACTGGCCTAGGAGATAAACCTGATAAAACATACTTTAATGGGTAAATTAAAATATTAGTTGTAGTTTGAATTCAATACTTTGTATGTGAACTTATGCTTCCAAAATGATGCTTTTTTGACACGTATTCTTTTATTTATTTTTATTTTCATTTTTCTTTTTTCTTTTTAGTTTGCCAGAGTTGTGTGCACTTGCTATAAGGAAGCAAAGAGAGGGATAAAGGAGAAAGCACCCCTTTGATGGGGTGTAATCCTACTGCAGTCCCTTCTCCTGCATTTCTCAGTCCAGGAGATTTTTTGGCATGCATGCACATGGGCCTGGTGTGTTTTTTTAAGCTGCTATGATGAGGATCCAAACCATGTGGTCGGCCATGTGGAATCCAGCTCCCTTAACCACTAGGCCATGGACCCAACGCTATTTCAACACACTGTTTTCTGTGCTCTGACTTGGAACCACTGTGAAGACAAAGTTTACATTGTCCAGTCCACTCAGCTCCACTAGACACATATTTTAAATTGGCAAAGAGTCCAATTAAGAATGGCGTAGTATTTGCAAACATTTCACATCAGGCTTCATTGAACCTTGGGCTACCAGAGGGAAGTTGTATGCAGGGCACTGTCCCTTCACCGGTATCTCCATTTTAAATGACTCAACTTTCACTTGTTTTATATATTGGGCCTGTGTAAAATATCATTTGTGGTTAGAGTTTTCTTGGGAAATAAGGACAAAATAATTTGTAGGATTAAATACTACTGCCATAGGAAAAACAGAAGCAGGAGATTGCAATTTAAACTTGCAATGAATAGTTAGTAAGATATTTCTCATATTTGGGAAATTACTCTGTCTTGAGAAGACAATGCTCCACAGTTTGGCAAGCTGCAAGACTGGCCTGGAGGGACAAAATCGCAAGGCATGGTGTCCGGTTTGTTTTAGGCCTGCCTACAGAGGGGCCAGCAGGGCACAAGCACCCAGGCCAGAACCAGGCAGTGCCCCCTCCTCACCCCAGCATCCTCTTGCAGGAGCTGCCTGAGAATGAGCTTCTGCACCCGCCCCTGAGCATCTGCGTGGTGGACTGGAGAGCTTTCGGGAGGAGCACCCTCGTGGGTACCTACACCATCAACTGCTTGAAGCAGTTTTTGTGTAAACCCAGAGAGCCCCTTGCCCTCATCTCACCAGTGGAGGAAGCCCAAGTTGAGCAAGGTAAGACGCTCCTCCTAGCTACTGGATCAGCTCAAAGAAGTTGCCCCACCATCAAGTGGCTGCATAGATCTTTCTGATGAATTTGCTTCTACAGTCTTCATCTTTGGCTGCCAAACTCTTGCATGAGGGGCCAGGTGGTGACACATTGGTAGTGTAACTGGAACTACTGGGAAAGGTCCTAGGTTCATATCTCAGGACCTCCCTAAGCATCCCAGGCATGTGTGTGGCCATGATCCAAGCCTCCTGGTAGATTGCAGTGTGAGGACTCTGTTGGGGATTCTGTCTCTTTATCTTTCTTTCTGTATCTGTCTCTCATGAAATAAATAATACTTTAAAAATAAATAAAGTCGTATATATATATATATAATTTTTTTGAGAGTGAGAGATTTTTGCCATAGGGGGCGTGTTCACTGGAAACACATTGAAAGAGAGATGGAAAGTGAGAAATCATCCCCCCCCATAAAAGATGGCCATGCCACAATCCCTCCATTCTCCTCTTGGGATTTTGGGTACACACACACACACACACACACGCACACAGCATGAGTTTTAAGCCACCAGGTCTGAGACTCAAACTGTGGTCGAATACATGACAGTCCAATGATGTAACCATTATGCCATCTGCTGGTTCCTATATTTATTTTTTTTTAAAAGCTCATATCAGGCTTAACTGCTCTCTGAAACCTTCCTAGAACACAACTGAAGTTTCTCCCTGCCTTCACTCTGACATTTTACTTGGCTTTGGCCTTGATGTGATTTTAGTTTGTTCCATTATGATCTCAGGTGTGCAGAGCTGAGTTAATTGCATGTCACAGTTTCATGACATATCATTATTTATTATTATTATTATTATTATTAGAGAGCTTTTTTGCCATAGGGCACGTGCACTTGCCGGAAATATAGAGACAGAGAGGCAGAAAGCAAGAAATCACCCCCCAGGGGGTTGGCCACACTGCCATCCCTTCTTCTCCATTCTCCTCTCAGGATCTTGGGCACACACGAACAGACACCCAGTGTGAGTTTAAGCCACCGGGTCTGGGACTCGAACCGTGGTCAACTACATGGGAGTCCAGGACATAGCTGTTACGACAACTACTGGTCTCACATTTAGGTCTTTAAAAGCATCTGCATTTGTATAATTTTAGGTAGAGATCCAGCTGCATTGTAGTACCCTTTTGTTCCCTAAACAGTCTGCTGACCAGTCGTTCCTTTCCCCAGTGGTTTGTCTGCCATCTGTCTCATAAAGTGAGTTGCTGTACTTCCTTTGACTGTTTCTGAGCTTTCTGGTTTGTCTCACTGATCTCTCTGAATCTATGAGTTTGTTAGATTGAGGGACCAGCAGATGATGTAATGGTTACGTCACTGCACTCCCACATAGTTGACCGTGGTTCCAGTCCCAGACCCAGCGGCTTAAACTCATGCTGGGCATGTGCGTGCATGCCCAAGATACCAAGAGGAGAATAGTGAAGAAGAGATTGCAGTGGGGCCATCCCCCCCTGGGGGGTGATTTCTTGCTTTTTATCTCTCTGTCTCTCTCTCTCTTTGTCTCTCTGATCAGTGCACCCACCCTATAGCAGAAATCTCTCAAAAAACGACTTTATTAGGTTAAATTGGCTGTTAAAAGTGGATAATTGGAAGAGAGAACCTTGGAGGTCATGGCAGCCATGGAGGATCCAAGTAGGAATTGTTGCTAAGTCCTGAATTCCATGGCACAAAATGGAGAGAAAAAGATCTTTGGCAGAATAGAACAGTGTTGAGACCTTTTTATGACAATGGCCCAATTAAGAATATCAAAAAGCCAGGGATATCCCCTGCTCTTTGCCAAGTACATACCCTCAGGTGCCCAGAGGTCTGCCTGTACTTGGGGGATTAACAGACCTCTGAGGCCTCCAAAGTCTCCCCAAATTAACAGATGAGGGGGACAATCAAAGAAGCCTGTGCTCTACACCTAGGTTTTCATGATCCTAATGACCCCAGTTGATTAAAATTACTCTGAGGGATCCATAACAAATACAACCATTTTTTGATTAGCTAGTATGTGCCAGGTGCCACGCATCATCTCCATCCCCCAGCGAGACCCGTATTTTTACTGTTATTTTCTAAATAAGATGGATGGGGTTCAGAAATGCTAGAAATTCAGCCTCTCTTAATCCAGATCTGTCTGATTTTAAGTACTAAGTTCCTGAAATAACCAGCCTGCAATGTGGCCCAGTTCTCTGACTAGATGTGCTTTTATTTCAGCAGTCCCAGACGCACTAATAGCCACTGAGTCCTCTGAACCCCTCAGCTCATCCCAGGATACCCTGACAGATCACATCTTTGTGGATGTGGAGCCGCCTCCCACCGTGATGCCTGACACTGCCCAGGCTCAGCCAGCTGTCCTGGTCGATATCCCAGACTCGTCCCCTATGCTGGAGCCTGAACACAAACCTACAGCCCAGGAGTCACCGACAGATGGAAAAGTTAAGGTTAGATTGTCATCCTACTTCTATGTACAAGGATCACTGGCGAGTAACTGGCGGTTCTAGACACTGATCCTCTCACCTACTGTAGGGGTGTGCCCACGGGCAAGGCACTTCACGCTCTGGGTATCAGTTTCCTCATTTGTAAAATAAGACTATTGATAGCCACGTCACAGCATTGATGTAGGATCTGGTGAGTCAGTATGTGTAAAATTAAACTGCTAATCAAATGTGACAAGAATATTTAATTGGACAGAAAGCCTTTTTTGTTCATTAGCTTGGAAAGGTAATGATTTCTTCATCCAGTCCTATTCCAGAAATATTTAGAGCCTATTTTGTACAAGGTCGTTAGTAACCAAAAAGATTGGTCCTTTGGATTCTAAAGAGGAATAAGACTTTCTGTCCTCAGGTAATCGAGATTCTGGAAGGAGAAATAGACAAATATACAAAGAACAACAACAACAAAAGAGGGCTACTGTTATTTTTTCTGAATTGTAAATTTAGAAAATTTATAAATTTAAATTCTGCTGTATCAATTGACTTAAGAGAGAAGACCATATTAAGAAAGTCCTGAAGAATTGCCTACCTGGGGAACCAGCAGTTAGCGTAATGGCTATGTCACTGGATTCCCATGTAGTCGACCACGGTTCACATCCCAGACCCGGTGGCTTAGAACTCACGCCAGACGCGTGTGCGTGCGTGCCCAAGATCCTGAGAGGAGAATGGAGGAGAAGGGATTGCGGCGTGACCATTCCCTCTGGGGGGTGATTTCTCACTTTCGGTCTCTCTGTCTCTCTCTGTCTGTCTGGCGAGCGCACGCACCCTATAGCGAAAAAACCCCTCCAAAAAAAAAAAAAAAAAAGAATTGCCTACCTGGTAAATGATAAAGACTGAAATAAAAAGTAGATGAATGGATATGTGCCCAGAATAGTCCCATGTCATCCACTCTCAGGGACCTTCTGTGACCCCTTGCCAGCTGCTCTTCACGTTCCCAGCACTGCGCCTGTCACTTTGTGTCGGAATTCTCAGTTGAAGAACCACCGTCAGCCCTGTGGAAGTCCAGTACCTAAACCACCACACCACCTGCTGGCCTCCTTGGTAAATCAGTCATCTGCCAGTGCTCAGTAAAATGAGGCTTCATCCTAACTCCTCTGTCATTCCTTGCTAGGATGCCAGGAAAGCTTCCCGGAGGTCCACTAAAAGGAGAAAAAGGACCATAGCAGATGAGTCAGCTGAAAATGTCATTGACTGGTGGTCGAAGTATTATGCCTCTCTGAAGAAAGCACAGAAGGTAAGGTCTCCCCTGGCTTTGATAGTTAAGGAACTCTGCTAAGAAAACATTGCACCTTCTCCCGCCACAAATCAACCCCTTTTTAATCCCACAGGCATGATTCTGTTAACTACAGAAGAGCAAAAAGCCCAGAAGGTTCAGGGATCTAGAGTTACAAAGTTCTTGCTCTCTGGCTGGAGCTGGCTAGCACTGGGACACGAGCTCTATTGTAAATGCTGGAAAGAGGTTCCCTACAGCATGGCCTCTGGTGGCAACAATGATGGAGTTTTCAACTGCATCTGCAGATACCCAGGTCAAAGGGCCAGTTCTCCATCAGGGTTCTAAATTTGTATGAGAAATGATCAAAGTAAAGGCAGAGGTCTTGGCTTTACCAAATGGTAAGTGGCCAGAGCAAGAGCAAGACCTCACGTACGTGAAGGAAGATGAGGATCAAGTTATATAGCTGGCGAAACTATGAGGAGCAGGTCTTCAGATTCAGGCAAAAGCTCAGTGACTAAATTTGTTAATATTTGTTATTTGCTTGTTTATTTCTCATAGAAGATAAAAGGAAAATGAATCAGTTGATATCATCATATTTAACTAAAGAGAAGGTTTTCTGACTCCTTCCTTTTGAAAGACTGTGGATTGATCTAGGACCATTTCACAAATATGGATATATACTAAATAAACCAAATGCTGGTCCCTACCTCCAGCCTCCCCTCTTTGTGATGGATGTTACCACTTCTTTGTTTGTTTGTTTTTTTTTTATCTTTTTTTTTCATTTCATTTTCTTCCATACATTCAATCACATTATTATTTGTCTTACAAAATGGATATTTCAGCAGGTGAACACCTCTCCCCAGCACCGTCAATAAAACCACGAAACATCTTCAACAGATAATACCACACCTCTTTGTGCCATTAATGCTTTGCCTCCCTGTCCCTCCCCCTAATGTCCTTCCTCAGACCCTCCTCTTGCACACACACTATATCTGGTATTTACATCTATATACTGCGTTTCTATATCCTTTAGACAATTAGTTTCAGTCGTAGAGTGCAGACACTCGGTATATATTACGTGGGGACAATGTTACCACTTCTTTGAATGCATAGCCCTTTATCCTTCCTCTGCTAATCTCCCTAAACCCTGGAATCAACCCAAGGGCCCAACTTGCCAAGGGATAAGACTCATAGTGCAGGCTGGGGTGATGCTTCCAAGAAGGTAGAAAAAAAAATGAGGAAAGAGTTTGCTTTCCCCGTGGCTGAGAGGAGACTCCACAGAGAGGATGAGAATGTCTACAGCTAGGTGGCACCTTTGTTGGATATGTGGACATTCCACTGCTCTTAGGTCCCAGATCTTTACAACAAGGCTCTATTTTGGAATAAATAAAGCCTTCCTGTATATTTTGGAATAAATAAAGCCTTGTTTGAATACTCTCTTAAAATGGCATTTCTCAAAATTCAAAGGGCTGGCATAATTGAATTAAAACTATTAGCAGTCAGAGTTGATAAATAAGGCAGGCTATGTCAATAATCTTGTCTCCTCCTTTTTTTAAAGATGAAGGAGAATGATCCCAAGGGAAAAAAAGGAAATGCAGGTAAGTAGCTCTTCTGGGGACATTTGGACATAGAATGCAGCCATTATAGGGAGAAAATTATAAAATAGAACCCATGGAAGAAGTATTAGAGCTCAGCTCCCTCATTTCCTAAGTGAGGAAACCATCTCAGGGAGATGAAACACTTTAAAAGGTCATGCAACTATTTGAGTTGGACTGTGACTGGATCCCAGGTCTCCCGAATCAAGTTCAGCACTGGAATTGACCTTTTGGCTTGTGTCCCTACATTGACAGTCTTAATATAGAAACAGTGGAGTAAAAATAGGAGCAATAGGGATGACAGGCCAAAGCCAACACGATAAACTTTAATAGAGGTGAGTGTAAAGAGCCGGATTTAGGTTCCAAAACTCAGTTTACAAGGATCAGATAGATCTGGTTTGGCAGAAACTCAAATGAAAGAGGTCCGGAATTTTAAATGACCACAAACTCAACTCAAGTGAGCCGTAGTTCTTGGCCTAAATACAACAGCCAATGCTGTTTCAGGTGACATTGATGGAAGTAGAAAAACCAGAGCTAGGCTTAGTTCCTCAGACTACTCCTTTCACTTAATTTACTACACATTTAATTCTAAGATCGGTCCCATGACTTTGGTGATATCTTCATGTCACAGGTGATAAAACAGGTCCAAAAGGGCCACGTAACTTGTCCAAGGCTACATAGAAAATAATAGAGCTAGAAGTCTATCTCTAACATTCTCTTTCCCCGGGGTCTTCTGCTAAAAAGTTATTAAGTAATCTCATAGTATGACTTTGTGCAAGACCTTTAGCATATTTCAGCCTCATGTTGTATTAGATACATCTCAAGTCCTTAACCAGACCTGAAAGAGAGTGTAACTAAAAGCTCTGGAGTCAGTCCATATCCTGGGTCTGTTTGCTAGTTGGGTGAATGCTTCATTTATGGACCCTCTCTGTGCACCATTTAATGAGTTCTCACACATATAGGCCAAGCTAACACACTGCCCACTCCCAGGGGACCCACTGACTTTGCTTTGCTACGTGAGTGGCATCTCCTGGGGTCAGGTCCTTCAGTGTACAGACTGCAGGACTATCCACAGCAATACTACAGTGAGAGGTTGCTGTTTCTTTTTTAAAAGAAGGATCATGATACACAACACATGCCAGAGCAAAGGGCAAGAGCTTGGTTATGCGCATTTTCATTTTAAGAGCCTTGAGAAATCTAACAATTTCTACTGAATATCTACAGAAACAAAACCAGATGAAGTAGTGGTAGATATGGAAGATGGCCCCAAGAGGAAGAAAGACAAGATTCTCAAGAAGAAGGTCAAAGATGATGAGCTCCCCAACCTGGCCATCTTGCAGGTATATGAACATAAGCATCTCTGCCATGGACAGGGGAGGCAGTGGCTTCTCTAAGTACTTTGGTCAACCCTACTATTACTTTTTTTTGAACTAACTTACTTGGTCTTCACTATAATCATTAAAGTAGAGAAATAAGTTTAACAAGCATAAAAACCCAGAGAGCAGACCATGTTCATTTTTCATTTTCTACATCTTCATACTGAGGAGGCTCAAAACATGCATTATTTAGCCTAGACCTGACAAGGAAATTTACAATGTGTGAGTTCCCCTTAGCTCACCTCTGGAAGCTTGACATCATCTTGCAGATGTGTGCACACTCAAAGTAACAGAACTAAAAACTCCAGCTAAAGACAAGCCTATCAAACCAATCTTAATGTTAGTCAGAGTACACAAGCTAAACACATGCATTTAGATACAAAAATCTGAAATATGGAAATGATGAATCTAGATAACCAATTTGGGTAAGTAATTTTGATACGGCATTTGAATAAGTAATTTAATTATATTGCCAAATCTAAAACTCAATTTTACTTTGCAGTTCCAGAGTGTATTTATAATTTCCCACTTGGAAAATTCATGTCTATATGCATTACACTAAAAGCAAATATTCTAGAACTTTATATGTTAGGCATTAGATTTTTCTTTTTAATTGCTAGAAGAGACAGAAAGAGGGGAGAAAGCACTCCATGGTAGGGCATGGCCATGTTGCAATCCCTTTTCTTCCATTTCCACTCTGTCAGGATTTGGGGCATGCACACGTGCCCAATATGTTTTTCCAGACACCAGGACTAGGAACAAATGATGGTCAGTCATATAGGCTCTGACTTCCTTCACCTCTAGGCTACAGATCTGGTCCTCAAGGTTAGGTTTGAAATCATGGCCTTTCTCACTAAATCAACCCTGAGTTGCTTCCTCACAGCACAGTCTTTTCTCTTCTCTCTAAGATATATGACAGAGATCTTGAGAGTGAATTCAACAATTTTGAAGACTGGGTGAAAACCTTTGAGCTCTTCAGAGGCAAGTCTACAGAAGATGACCATGGTTTCGATGGAGACCGAGTCATTGGAAAGTTTAAGGCAAGTTCTAGTGTTAACCCTGTTACTTGGCTCACCCTGTCCGTAAACATCAACTATCTCAACATGAAATTGTGACAGAGATGTGCGCAAAAAAAGAAAAAGAAAAATTCTTAATTTTTACCCAAGACCTTCTCTAGAACCCTACCACGCCTAACCACAGTCATCTGAGATAATTTTGGTTTGTGGCTAGTGACATGGATTGGAGTCAGTCTGGTGGAATATAAGGAGACAAAGCCATTACCCGAAAGGACCAATGTACTTTACTTTGCTCTCCTCACTCCCAACACACCAAATATCTGATTTATACAAACCTACCAGTTGGACAGTTAAATTAATCAAGCAACCTAAAGCTTTCATCTGTCAATCTTACAGTGTCAGTATCACAAAGTAGTGGGTAGCATATTCTTTTTTTTATTTTTTTTTAATTTTTTTTTCCTCCTGCTTTTTTTTTTTTTTTTATTAAATTATATTACCTAACACTCATTCCCTGAGCATCATCACAACACACTAAGTGTAGTTTCCCATCTAGGATAAACTGCATAGTGTCTTAATCAAGCATGTTATCACCAATACTATTCCATTTCTACTTTCATACATATGTATACATATATATATGTTTTTTATCCTATGTTTGACCCTCAGCCCTTTCCCCCTCTCCCGTTTACACTATCTCTGCTATAAACAGTTGTCTTCCAGAGGGGTCATTGAAAATGCGATACCTGCGAGTAGAGGGAGAGGGGCCAC